ATGTTGTGTCGTACATTAACGCGAATTAATTTGAGTTGGAATTACTGCTTCACTCCAAATTCCTGTCACTTCACGTATAACGATTGAACAGCTGTCATCAATAGATTTATTGCGATTTCTTGAGTGATGGAACAGTAGTTGCAGAACTTCTTTATTTGTTAGTAACTTTTTGCCAGTAATTGAACTTATTGTTTTTCCAATCAAAAATATATTTTGTCTTAGATCCATTGAACCTAAATTTTTATAGGTTAGAACTATTTGTGAAATTTTAATTCCAATGAGATTTTCAATATAAATTTAATTTTAAAGTTTTTATTTACCTATATAGTCACCTGAGTATTGGTTTGTGCTACCTCCATTTTTTAACATTTTGAGGTTTATGCATTTTCCGAAAGTTGAAGTTGGTTTGTTCCATCTCCATAATAGTATTTTGATATAATTGTGTCAGTTTTTAGTTTAGGTTAGTCTAAATCCGAGTTTAGTATAAAAGGTTTAAAATTGGTTTACTCTATCTCCAAAATTTCGCTTACATGCTTTCTTTTGCTCTATGTGTTTGTAAAAATCTGAAAATAATTAGTATTTGTTTGTGCTATATCCATATGAAAAATATATTTTATAACTGTTTTGTGCTATCTCCAAGGAAAGCTTTCTTATAAGTATAAAATTGTTTTGTTCTATATCCACTTTAGCCACTAAACGTTTTTCACTTATTTACATGTATATGACATTGTATTTTGACAATAATTATTATTATTATTATTAAAGTAAATCATTATTAAATAAAGTGTTTTTTAATTCAGTTTTGTTTAATGTCCTAAAACTTTGTTATATGTCCAACATTTTGTTTCTAAAATCCAAAATTAGCACTTTTTGTTTTATCTCCAAAACGTTTTTTCCAATATTGAGGCATAAATCCAAACTTGAGATAAGAGTTGCTCAATAGAAATAATTAAAGGCTAAACAAGAATATTGTTATTAATGTTTAATTAAGTTTTCATTAAAAAACAAATAAGATATTTAATGTAAAAGTTTCAAACCCGTTTATCTCGATTATAACATATTGGACATAGAACAAATCAATACTCAGGTGACGATATGTTAAAAATTGCACTAATTCTAAATTTTGTTTTTTGTGTATAATAAATAAGTTTTATTATACAAATAACTACTGTTAATATACGACACAACATTCACAACATTATGCAGAGATATTTGTATACAATATAACAAATATACAATACTAAAAGGACTTAAAGCGCCGTCAAGGTACTAAATGCGATTTAGCGCGCTTGCTTCAATAAGAATTCCGTGTGTTGGCGGGAATGCTTGTAAGAGTAATTTTGAGCCACTTACTGTATTGAAGGAAAATTTTATAAAAGTATACAAAACTTGAAATTCAATAAAAATTAGTTGACTGTGTGTTATAAATAAAGTCTCAAAAATAATTAAAACTAGAACCAGCTACCTGTTATGCAGTCTATTATTTTCCAGGTTTAAAAATTGTATACCCTAATACCACCAGAATTATCTATTTTCAGAAATATACTAATAACTTTCATCGAAATAATAATAACTTTGCCGTAAAAGTAAAAAAAATCAGAAAATGTACACAGAGTTTAACTTTCACCTCGAATAACTTTTTAACGAGTGATATAATCGAAAAATTATAAGAGACCTTTTTTGTAGACCGTTCAATTTACTATAAGAAAATATATGTCTCATTGCTGTAAGTCATCTTGCCTGGGAAAAAAAGAATTAATTGAAAAAAGTGTCAAAATCCCATGTAATTTGAATGGGAAATGTATCGTCTTTGGGGCAAGGTTTATTATGAATATTAAGAGTTTATTTTGGTCTGAAATTTTTTTAGACGATAGACTAAAAATTTAGGGGGCGTCGCAAGAAAAAAAATCAACTTGGTAAATAACGGACACCCTAATACACATGTACCTATGTATAAAAAATACGTTGTCTAAGATGTAAATTATCTTTTGTGCGAATTTGTATTTTAATTTATTTAAGTATATATGGCGCCATCTATATTTTAATAACCACATAAAAATTTCTTGTTTAACTTCTTTACCTGTATGAAATATACAAATTACAGACTCCTTTTTGTAGGGAAGTAATGGATGGTTTATAATAGCAATAACCATATTGCAGACATTTGTATTATCAATATTTTTGATGATTATAACCATATATATCTATAATTATAAACTATAATATTGACAGTTGACGTAAATTGTCATATAAATGTGAAAATGTTTAAAATGATTAATTTTTCGTCCATCATAACGAATTTTATAAATTTGAAAAACAAAAAGGTTATTCTTCTTTTTCTTTAACATATATGAATAAATTAATTTATTTTTTCTACTCCCACCTTTAAAGAAATGTTTTATCGTACATGTTTCCATGACACTAAGTGGCCATTTAAATACACATTGATAAGTTGTGGCTTTATGGCGCTTTAGTCACGGGCTGAAGTTAGTTTTAAGTTAGTTGACAGTTGTCAAATGTCATACAATCGTTAAAATAAATTGCCTTTCTTTTAAAATAATACTAAATGTGAAAATTATTTTATTATCTCAATACAAAAATACAAAAGTATTAAATAGTTTCTCAACGCCAATATTTGAAAAGTTTATATGAACATTCTACTGACCTTTTAATTTCGCCGGCAGTAAACTATAACTTAAATTCGGGCACAGACTCCACTGTAAAGTGCTCATAAAACATTTTTTTTTACTTTCACTGTGAGAAACTGTCAATTTTTAAGAAATACATTTCGATTTATAACCTTTATAATTGTGTTTATAAAATGAAAAAATTTTACATTTGACGGTGACACACAGATTCCCCTATTGTTTCATAGATGGCGCTCTATACAAATTTTTGATTTAAATCATTTTAAAATAATAATTATTTGTCATAGAAAAAGTATAGTATGCACCTCGTTTATAAACTTCGCTCGCTAGTGCCTAAATTAAATTCGTGTATAAAATGGCGTTTATTAAACTTGATACATAATATACTATTATTATTTATTAAAATTAGTCTTGACTCTAACCAGCAATAGGTTAAAAATTACATTGACAGACAGCACACGTGAACTTAACTCGCATCCCATTGGTTGAAAATCCGTAATCCGTAATCTCTTAAACATAAGAATTGGCGAACTTTGCGCTACGAGATTAGCGTCAGTGATTATATACCAAAGCATTGAAAATTAATGTTTAAAGAATAGTGGTTAGAGAATAAATTTAGGCGTATTGCCATTATAAACCATCCATTATTTCCCGGGCCCTAAAATCAAACCCAGCACGCGCCTGCGTGTCAGTATGGTCTTTATTTACTACATTCACTTGTTGAGGATTGCTTTTTAATGCACTAATTTAATGTTTCTATTAACAGCAGGTTCACTGATTTTTCTTGTCCAGGTAGTACATCTTCGCACTAATTGCATTGCGTGGCGTCATTGCCGCTTTAAAAAAATACCATATTTTTGTCCCTATTTTGTATAGTATATTAAATACTTTTTAATAAATTGTATATAAATTCTATAATTAAAAGCATTTACCAATAATAAACACACAAAATGATGATATTTTAGATTTTATAATGATAAGTTTATAATGGCAAGAATTTGGCAATGTCGTATTACTATCACGATAGCCAAAAGGTTTTTATCAAAGACTTGCTAATATGTAGATGGTTTTTAAAATTAAACATTTTGTTTGTTTTCTGTTGTATACCAACTGTTTTGGCATTGTTTTTTATTGTTTTTACGAGATTTTTAGTGGCTTTTACATAATATGCATATTATGCCACATTTTGCTTTTTATAAAGCCAAACCACAGGAATTTATGTAAGCTTAACCTAGGCGATGTAAGCAGATGGCAATGAATAACAATAATAACTGATTTCGGGTAATATATTATAAACACTTCAGTTGTTACAAACACGTTGAAATTATTGATGCGTATTGTTGTGCTGAAGTTGTATGCTTAACGACTATTGCACTCCACTTACTTTATGGACCAATTAGATTTCAGAAAACAAGTGTTTTTTTTAGTTTTGTAACGATAAAACTACTATTTAGGTGACTATTTCCCTCGTCTTAATTTCCACCAATCACAAACGCGCAATTTTGAATTACAAATGGTTTCTAGGTGAAAAAACTGTGTGACAGCACCTGTCAGCAGTTTTTTCGAGTTTACCCGCGGCAAAACGACAGACCATTCGGGCATCTAATTTTTCCTGTGAAAAAAAATCGAAAAAACACAATGCTAAATAATATTTTTTTTTAACAAAATGCATTCGTGCAGGTGCAAAAATCCTCCTTTTCGATTCGGATTTTTGTTGCCACCAGCACTCATGCTTCTTGTTAAAATATTACTTAGCAACGTGTTTTTTCGATTTTTTCGGAAAAATTAGATGCCCTTATGATATTACTTACGAAAAAACACTCGTTTATACGAGTTGAATAGCAATCAATTGCAAAAAATAATTGTCAATAAAAAATATCCGTTTTGGTCAAAAAAATCATACAGAAATTGAATCAGCAGTAAGAAATATTCGTGAAATAGTCTTGCCAAATATCACTCGTGATAAAATTTTCCCTGAAAAAATTTTTCCTTGTGCGTGATCGGTTATAATAGTCCTGTCTAATATTTTCATAAACTTTTGTCACCCTGAAACGTAGTTTGGCAAACTTAAGTTTCTAACCTTTGGCTATCAAGTATGTAATATTTGTTTATTAAAATCGTGTTTTTTTACCTAATTCCACAGATAATGATTTATGCCGAAGTCTTAAATTAAACCTTACACTTTACTTTTTTTAAATAAAAATAACTGCAATAAGTAAATTTTCACATACCCAAATGACTTTAGCTGCGTTTAGTTAAAAATAATGCATAAGAATGTAGAATCATTTAAAATATTTACTAACCTATTAATCTAAATTTTGAATTACGAGTCAAAATAATTGTCACTCTTTTATTGTAAATTTTTATGTCAAATTAAAAAATGATTTATAACTAATTTTTAAATTTAAAATAATGTAATTTATGGGGGGCTTTATACAAAAACTAATGTTACATTTTTTAACGCGTGTCCACCAAAATTGTAAGTAATGAATAAAGATAACGCCAAGGAGTTTCTGGTGACTTTTCTTCTTTCTGGAACAATTGCTATGACCACCAAGACCATAGTGGCACCGCTAGAACGTACCAAAAGTATACTGCAAAACCAGGAGTCTGCATATCAAGTATTGACTGGAGAAAGAAAGAGATACATTGGAGTTGTAGATATATTTAGAAGAGTTCCCAAGGAGCAGGTACAAGTTTATGAAATATATAATACAGTAATTACAAATTTTATTGGAAATATTAGGATTGTTCCAATAAGATAAGTCAAATACAATCAGATGTTTCAAAGAAATAATTATTGTTTGAATAAATTTTTGTATCACTTTTGTTGGGTTTGCTGATGAGCTGAAATACAAATTGTAATGCAAAGATTAGCATTGTTTCATCAATATACGAGGTGTGTTCAGAAAATATCGGGAACTTTCATTTTTTGAAACAAATTTTTGTTTATTCGTCTACATTAATGTTGTCGCCTTCAAAATAGTCCCCATTGGATATTTGCACATGTGCCAGCTCTTCTTCCAATACTCGAAACACTTCTAAAACTAGATCTTTGAGATAGCCTTTAGTTCTTTCAGCGATGCGCTTTTAATGTCATCTATGCTTGCAAAACGACGGCCCTTTAAGGTTCTCTTTATTTTTGCGAATAGGAAAAAGTCAGACAGAGGCATGCCTGGCGAATATAAAGGCTGGGGCATCATTACAGTATTGTTTTTGGCCAAAAATTTTGTTCAAAATTTAACAATTTTGAAAAAAATTTTGCTGCCACGCGTTTCATACCCAAAACATTTGAAAAAATTTTATGGGTGAACCAATCGATATACCAACATCATCAGCGACTTCTCTGATGGTTTATAACCATTTCTTCCACTTTTTCCATGTTTTTATCGGTTGTTAATGTGCTTGTGCGTTCGGGGCGTTCGTCATCTTTACCACTTGTAAACTCTTTTTTTACTTATAGCAGACTCACTATAGTTAACATTTCACAGAATTTATTTAATTTTTTAAGCAAAATTGGATACAAATTCTCTTTGATCCATTTCTTTTAACGAACGAAAATCGCTGAGCTCATAAAACACGTCTAACCTTAGCGGCTGCCACAGACAAAGTAAACAATGAAAACAGCTAAAGTTTGTATCATACTTCGGGGTCATTTATACCAACATAATAAATAAAATTGTATGACAACCGGACCCTCCGAAGCCGCGAAATTTAACAATTACCGTTATTTTCTGAACAATCAGATGTTTCAAAAGAAATAATTATTGTTTGAACCAATTTTTGTATTACTTTTGTTGGGTTTGCTCATGAGCAAAATTACAAATTTTAATGGAAATATTAGCATTGTTTCAACAAGATCCAATCAGATGTTTTAAAAGTAATAATTGACGTCACAATCTCGCAATAAATCACATGACAATCTGGCAATATCAGCTCGTACACAATTAAGTCATACATGATTGTTAGCTTGCACACGACCGATTTTGGAGGACCTCAGCAAAATTCGTTCTCCAGTAACGACCACGATTAAATTCTCAAAATACCTCTATAAAATCATTAATGTGCTGTTGTTGAAAATGTACGTCAATGATTGTGAAAGATTCTTCCATTTTTAGTCGAAATAACATTTTCAAGTTAGGATGCGTTACACAAAATGTTACAAGAATATCACCTGTTCCTAAGTTTTATGCTAAATATTTTAACTTTAAGACGCATTTATTAGATTTACGTAGCAAAACTTCTACTTTATATAATTAATAACTAATTAAGGATGAGTCAGATAAAGAAAACGCCAAAGGACTTGGAATTCACCCCTTTTCTGCGATCTATGATTTTTGAGACACCCTGTACATATTTATCTGAATTGTTTCTGTTTAGGGTTGGTTGAGTTTTTGGAGAGGCAATGGAGTTAATCTTATACGAACCTTTCCCACTATGGCTTTTAATTTTGCCTTTAACGATATGTACAATAAATATCTGAGCGGATTATTTGACACGAAGCAAAACTTTGCGGTTGCCAAAGTTTTATCCGGAGGATTGGCTGGAGTCACAACAGGAACTATTTTATACCCTTTGGAGTTTTGTCAAACAAAAATCACTAGCGACTTTGGTTCAGGTATCTTTTTTATAAACTAACAGGGTCACCAGTAATAAAGGGCTTACCAATAACAATGTCCGAACTTTAAAACATCACGGGGATTACTTTGACGGTTAGAAATGGTTTAAAGTTGTTGGTGAAATTTGGGTTCTGTTATAATAATATTTTCTACCGGGGCGAATTTTTGGCTAAATGGCAAGATAACCGTTATTGGAGTGAATTCAAGTGATTCACAAGGCTTTTTGTATCTGTACACAATCAATGTAAGGTGTGGATTATAACCTGGAGGCATCATCGATCCTTATATGTTTAATCGGTCGAACTCTTTTTTGAACGACCTTTACTTTTATTAATTTGACGTACTCTCTAAAAATGAAATAGTCAAAATTCTACTATTTGAATTAGTACCAGCATTTTAAATAATAAAATAGTCGTTTTCACATTTAAATAATTATTTTTTACTACGTAAATAGTTAAAGTTTAACTAATTTAAGATTAGTCACCATCTTTGACTATTTCTGAGAGTTAAAAGTAACTAATTTCTTTAATCGTTTGCGGCCAACAACAAAGTATTATTTGAATTAAATGCATATACCTAAGCTCCATGGTTAAATGACCCATAAAATAAATAAAGATGTAAAAAGTTTAGCTTAAAACAGCAACACAAATAATATATTCAATTTAAAATATTTTGAACAATATTTATAGACAAATAAAATTGATTTTTATAAGAGCGGCTGATAGCCGAATGGGTTATGACAACAGCTTGACAAGTGAAAGACTTGAGTTCAATCCCCAGCTAGGTCAAAACTTTTTTTAAATTTAAATCTACTAATTAGAGTTTGACTGATTACACTGTGATACAAAATTAAGGTTTGCGAAAGGGAATGGAATAAAACCAAAAGCAAATGAAAGTTAATACTTTCCACAAGAAAACCCTATCAGGGTTTTTTATATCACGTCTCAGTTTTTTTTGTACGCATTTAAATTTTTTGACACCCTATAGGAAAAACATAAGTAAAACTATGTTAATTATTAAAATTAATTTTGTCAATTTGATCGAGGAATCTATTTGTGATGTTAATTTTTACCAAAGACTAATTTTTACTATTTTTGAAGGGAAGAAATCCATTTTTGTCACCCGTTTGTTGTAAAATATACCCTAGGTGATATTCGAAAGCAATTTTTAATATTTTGGATTTATTAGTATAGAAAACTTGTTTTTTTTAAGAAAAAATAGCATCTTTACTTCTTAACTAAACATTATTAAATTAGCTATTTTATTTTTATTTAAAAACTATCACTGCTGTAACCGGCAGTAACACGAGTTTAAGTACCAGAAGTTCCAGCTGTTCATCCAAAAATTGATAAAAATGCAAAATATAATTAATATAATCAAAAATACCATGTTTTAGTATAAAAATAAAAAAAAATACCTGAATTATACCACAACATTGGAACACCAAATTTCTTTTTCTTTTGTGATCATTTAATTAAATTGTTATTACAAGTTCTGCAAACTTTTCAACATATTCAATTATATGTATACCGTAATATTGTAGGTACAATTTTTTACATTTTTATATTTTGGAACTAAGTTTTGTTTTATATTATATTGTCCTTTAAATTAAAAAAAATAATTAAATTAAATATATTAATTAAGAAAAACGTTTTATGTTGCTGTCACTGATTTACTATATAGTACATATGTACTATATTATATAATATTATGTGTTTTTAAGTAAACAAATCAATTTTACCTTTAAACAACCTCGTTTTTGCTACAAAAACTGCAATTTTTTGTAGTAATAATATTTTTTCAAAAGGGCGAATACGCCGAAATACTTCTTTTTTGTTTTTATCAAAACAGGAAAATGGCATATTCGCTCTTTTGCAAAAATACCATCAATATATTACAATATATTACCACAAAACAATGTAGTTTTTGTATACAAGTATTGTGTTTTGATTAAAGCATTAAAGAGAATATTTTTTTATAAAAATGCCCAATTTTCTAGTAAAAATGCTCTTTACTTGGAATGGATTCCTCGACTATATTGCAAGAATAATTTAAAAAAATTAAAATTGTTTTACTTATTTTTTTCCTATTATAAAATCTACCAACTTTAAATGCGTATAATAAAAAACTGAGACGTGATCTAAAAAAAACCTCATAGGGTTTTTTTGTAGAAGCTATTACCTTTCATTTGCTTTTGGTTTCATCCCATTCCCTTTTGCACTGTCGCATTGTGTTATTAGTGACTGCTTTTTCGCTATGACAATTATTCAAATATGACTTATTTGACTAATTCATTTTAGAGAGTAACAATGGACTTATTGCGCAAAAAGTTTACTGAGTTAATAATTACAAGAAATGGATCTGTAAATTTGTTGTCATACGGAAACCACTTATATGATATATTCTTTAAATCATAAAAATATATTTATTATAAAAATGTAATATGTTCCTAAACATGCATTTTTCATTTAATCAAAGTCGTGTTTAAAGTTAGGACGTTCTTTTTGGTAAACCCTTTACTTACCTCAAATAAGGGCTCATATTTCTAAGGAAAATTATTGCTAAATTATATTACATTATTATTAGTAATATGTTATAATGTTTAATGGATTGTAAATACTTTTTACTGTTTTTAATTTTAAAATTTTTCATGTTACAGTATAATTTAACATTAAATATTATTTTAGATAAGGGTTTTAAAACTGACAAGGTAGCTCGAGAATATACAGGTTTATTTAACTGTGTGGGAAAAGTATACCGCAAAGAAGGATATAAGGGTTATTTCAAAGGATGGCACGTTGAAATTCTTGGTATTTTTCTCTACAGGGGTTTATATTTTGGACTATATGAAATGTTAAAACAAGCATATTTGGTACGGAAAGAACGTACCCAGCATAAACTGGATCATATACCATTTTTTGCAAATTTTGTTATAGCTACAGTAAGTTAGCCTAAATAAAAGTCAGCTGATTATAATATAAATGAATTATTTTACATGAAACTAAAATCTTTTTCAAAATGTTACATTTATAATTTATTACTTTTTAGACAACTACGATTGTGTCAAGTTTTACTTCATATCCCTTGGACACAATAGGCAGAAGACTTATGTTGGATTCAGCTCGTCCAGCAAAATTTAAACAATTTAAAAACGCACGTGATGCCATGTTCAAAATGCACGAGAAACATGGCATAACTAGTTTTTATAAAGTAAGTGTATTTTTGTATTATTATAAACCATTATTTTTAACAAATATTGACATTTCGTTGGTAATGGTATTTTTTGTAGATATTTTATTATTTAAGGTTGTCATGCCATAAATAAAATTTAAATTATTGTTTGACGTTTTTAAAAACCAATAGAAATGTTCAATTTCAGTCATGTGTATGTTTTAGGATATTTTCTACTTACATTATTGCTGAAAAAATATTTTTGAAATTTGACTTTATTTTTGAGGGATTGTTGTGGCATTGGGGGGGATAAAATAAAGAAATATTAATTTTTGTTTTTTCTTGGAAAAAAGTGTATTCAATTTTTTACTGATAAAATAATCCGGTAAACATTTTGGGGCGGAATGGGGGAGATGGATACGCCCCTGATTGTTGTTACGTTCAATAATAATCCAACAAATACCACACGAGACATGGAAAAACCTCTTGCCATTTGGCAATACACTCGAGGCCTTCGGGCTCTTGTGTATACTGCGTGGCAACAGGTTTTCAAAAATCTGTCGAAATATTTTGAATTTCATTTAATTACTAAAATTAGGGTCATTTTGGAATTTTATCCATCCTACATAAAATAAGTTAAAAAGTATAAAAATTAATTTTATGAAAAGTACTCCATTTGCGTGTAATAATCCGAAAAAAAAGTTATTTTATGCCAAAACATAAATATCTAGTATTTCTTACACAATGGTGAAGTTGAATTTTACCGCCTCCATACGGACTAGAAAAAGAGTTTCTTCGGTTAGGATTGCAAAATAAACCAAAAATGTTTTTTTACTTTTTACAATAGAGCTTTGTAATAACAAATTACAAATTACAATCCTAATAAACTTTTTTGTTTTAAACAAAAGCTGTATTCTTTCTTAAAATTAATCTTGATAAAATCTTATATTCACTTATATACTTATATGGTACATTATAGACTAGGCCGAGAAAGCTCATTATTGCCCAGCATACATTTCACTGCCGAGGCGGGTTTTATCTAGTAATTTTTTTCAAGAATTTAATTGGAATATTTTTTTAAGATTCTGTCACATCATTATTATGTTAGGTTCAACTGACGGCATTTTAGCATCATTTTTGTGCTTTTTAACTATTATAAAAGTCTTTCTATATAGACTTATGAATGTTATAATATGTGTATATAGATATTGTGTAGGAAGAAAAATAAAGTTTAAATCACGGCGGTAATTTCCAGGCTTCAAAAAGTGTGTGAATGTTTGCTTGATATTGTTATCCAGACATATGCCGTATGCCCTTTTTGTTCTCAAAAAAGAGAACTTGTTTATATAGGATGGAAAACATTCCAGATGAACAAAATTATTATGTTTACTAAGCCTTTCTTTTAAAATTAATATAAATTATTATATTTTTACAGGGTGCTTTAGTAAATAGTGTACGTGGCGTAAGTAGTGCTTTAGTTCTTGTTATGTACGACCAAATACTAATTTGGACAAACTGGAAGTCAAAATTGAAAGCAAAAAATTAAATTGTACTTTTGAAGTAAAAGAAATAAAAAGTACGAACAAAATTTTTGTTATATTTTAATTGGGTGATTTTAATTAATAATTTAAATTTGTGCTTAGGAAAAGAAACTTATGAAGAAAGTCAGTATCTATCTTTATCTTCAATTTAATTCAAGAAGTTTATACTTGTCATGTAACCTGTTCAAAAGTGTTCAGGGGCGTAGCGAAGGTTTCGATTATGGGGGTTTGTTTGGATAGGCTTGCAATAAAACCAAACATTTGTTTACTTTTTACAATAGAGAGCTTTGTAATAATAAGTTAAATTAAAATTAAATAAAATTTACGACCTTTGGTTTAAACAAAAGCTGTATTCTTTCTAAAAAATAATCTTGATAAAATCTTATATTCATTTATTATATGGTACATTATAGACTAGACGGAGAAAGCTTATTATAGCCGAGTATACATTTCACTGCCGAGGCAGGTTTTATCTAGTAATCTCATCATTATTATTTTAGGTTCAACTGACGGCATTTTAGCTTTTTGTGCTTTTTAACTATTATAAAGGTCTTTTTCTACTCCTATTACGGAATTTGACCATTCTAATATCACTTCTATCTAAGGAATGACATATATTCCGTAAGGTGTTACAGAATGAAATATTCTATCATCTGATGACAGAATAAACCCTCGTGGCGACATCTCTGTTTTTAATATCTAACAAATTTGAGACCGATCCAACCTCACTTTTTTCCAATTAAATTATTTGTCTATGGTATTTTTTGGAAACGTAGAAAAAGTATAGTCTAAAACACGTTTGGAATTGCATATTTCCCTCTCGTGAAACCGTCAAACTCGCCTTCGGCTCGTGTGACAAACTTTTCACTCGAGCGGAATATGCCGTATTCCAAACTTGTTACAGAATATGCTATTCTATATAGACATGAATATTATAATATAAAAAAATATTATACGCTTAAAAAAATTATTGCACTCATGTTGTTTAGAAAAAAAAATAAAGTGTAAATCACGGCGGTAAAGTGATTTTTCCAGACTTCAAAAAGTGTCTGTACATTTCTTCCTTTGGCATAGAATAGCTCAATATCGTTATCCAGATATACATATGCCGTATGCTTTTTGTTCTCTAAAAAGAGGACCATAAAACAATGTATGTACTTGTTTATATAGGATGGAAAAAATTCCAGATGGACAAAATTATTATGTTTACTAAGCCTTTCTTTTAAAATCAATATAAATTATTATATTTTTACAGGGTGCTTTAGTAGGTAGTGTACATGGAGTAAGTAGTGGTTTATCTCTTGTTCTGTACGACCAAATACTAATTTGGACAAACTGGAAGTCAAAATTGAGAGCAGAAGATTAAATTGTACTTTTGAAGTAAAAGAAATAAAAAATACCAATACAATTTTTGTTATATTTTAATTGGGTAATTTTAATTAATACTTTAAATTTGTGCTATATATTTTTAAAAAATTTGGCACACTCCTTCTAAGCATTAACAGTAAGTTTTTAATGTGGAAGATTTTTTATTTTTTTTACCAGTGGCGTCCGTACAGGATGTGGTCTAGATATTTTTGGAAAAATATTATGCACGCCACTGCTATTTTTTAAATCCCCATTCATTTTAGGGCAAATTTGATTTCTTGACCATTTTTCGTACGACTAACGGTTTTCGATGAAAAAAATAAAAAGCATTTCATGATTATTTGTTATATCCTTACCATATTCAACGGGTCCAGGCCCTACTTCCTCGGGATTTTCCATTACGCTTAAATTTTTGCCAATGGTTTCTTCAAATGGTTACCGACAATCCCCAATTTGACGCCAAAATTTTATTTACGGACGAAGCTAATTTTTCCAGGAACGCCATAAGAAATTTTCACAACAATCATTTATGGACTGAAGAACCAACAACAATTTTCTGTAAACGTATGGGCTGGAATTATTGGGTATTATTTATATGGACCTTATTTTCTACCAGGCAGATTGAACGGAAATAGTTATCGCCAGTTTCTTGAACAGAGTTTACCAAATTTGCTAGACGACGTCCCTGCTTTTACCCGGCTTCATATGTGGTTTATGCACGATGGTGCATTTCAGTCTCCAGGCACGGGAATTTTTAAATCAACATTATAGAAATCGCTGGATAGGGCGCGTTGGTTTACAGCACCCCAATAAATACTGAGGAGGAGTTGATAAACCGCATAATAGTTTGTTGTGACCACGGTCTTATATACAGGTCTTGCAACTTTAAGCTTCGAGGTGGCTTCCTTAACGTGCCGAGCCGCTAGGTGGCGCTAAGATCGAAGGGGTAAAGTCAATTAAATGCACTACTTAGTTAAATGTGGATTCCACATTGTGGAACTACTGCATAACCATAACCTAACTTTTTAAATTCTTTTTCTATGTTTTGTTTACATTTTCAAAAATTTAATATTTGTGAGTTTGTTTCGGATAATTTACGTTAACAAAATAGGACAACAAAGTCTATACTCTATGCACAATGTCCTCGGCCGTCACATGCCCAGACCAAACATGTAAGTAAAACATGTTAATGTATAAAATACATACGTATATCATATATATGTTACGGCTAATGTGTAAACATGGATAGTTTATAAAGTAGCTGGGTATTTTATAAACTAGCCAAACTGTCAGCTATTTTAATTGAAAACGTATTTTTAACTAAATTAGCGGCTAGTTTGTAAACCAACCAAGGGTCTTGGCTAATTTACTTGAAATTATTTAGGAATAGCTGGATAATTTGTAAACTATCCAATTCAATTTGGCTATTATGAAAACCAAAATTTCTAGTAACACAACATAGCCAAGCTTTAGATAGTTTACAAACTAACCAACCAATATTCTGGCTAATTTATTAATAACCGATTTTTTTATTGTCTTGGCGGGGATGGGTTGATTGTTTATTTAAAGTAATATATACCTATTTCACCAACACGATGTGCTTAATTATATAATAATCACCTTTTTGAGCAATAGAAATAGAAATAGAACAATATAATATAACAATAACGAATATCACAATAACAAGTAAAAACTCCCTGTAACAAAATACACAAGCTTGTTTATAAAAATGTAGGTTATGTTTCTTAACACAGGACATAAGTAGGTAGTTCATTTGACCTTTTATCCCATAGACTTTAAGGACTTAGAGCCGGTTTTACAATCGTTAGATTAAGTTAGCTTATTTGGCGGATAACTTTCATAGAAACCTTCTATCTAAGAAAATTATCCACCAGAGAGCTTATCTAACGATTGTAAAACAAAGATAAAGAAGGTAAAAACGACCTTTAAACATCTATGGTTTATCCATAACTCGATGCGCCATCTGGTGGGTGTCTCATTAGAGAGGTCACTTTTCCTATTGAAATTGGGCGAAGTTGCAAGACCTGTATATAAAACCGTGGTTGTGACACTATCAGAAATACTCCAGAAGTTTTTCTAAGGGTACGAAACTCAATGAGGAGAAGAGCTGAAGCATGCATACTTGCAGGTGGTGGCCACTTTCAACAGCTAATCTAAATTATTTTTGTTTTTGTTTACGTTATTTAATGTTAGTTCTTTTAAAATTATTTTATAATTAAATTTAATTTTAATGTTTATTTAATCATGGCATTGTTTTCTCAATATCCGAAATAAATGCTTTTTATTTTTTTCATCGAAATCCGTTAGTCGTACGAAAAATGGTCAAGAAATCAAATTTGCCCTAAAATGAATGGGGATTTAAAAAAATTTTATTTTGAAAAATAACAGTGGCGTGCATAATATTTTTCCAAAAATATCTAGACCACATCCTGTACGGACGCCACTGGTAAAAAAAAAATAAAAAATCTTCTACATCAAAAACTTACTGTTAATGCTTAGAAGGCGTGTGCCAAATTTTATAAAAATATCTAGGAAGTTATTAAAGATGATAAAAAACTTATTTTTTTTTAAAACACCCTTTAACTAAAAAATTAAGAGGTTTAGGTCATAGGTTTAATTAAACTTTTGTTCTTAAAATCAACTAAGGATTCACACCCTTAAGGTTCAGCATCTTATTCTGAAACACCCTGTATATTATTATTATAATTATTATTATTATTAAAATTATTATTATTAAACCTGTTCAAAACTGTTCAAAAAATGTACAGACTATTTAATCCTATTAATTAGTCTGAAAATCAGTGGCGTAGCTAGATCATTTTGCGACCGGGGCAAAGAATAAAACATTATACAAAAGTTTAACGAAAATCGTAAATCTTTTTTGTTGACTTATTTATTAATTTGATTGAATCACTCGAAAGTGCAAATTCGTTAGTCTGCGTTTACAAAATTAACGAACGAATATCGAAACTTTACATGACGATAACGATTCGAATTTATTTTCAAGTCTTCATTATTTACTTCTTTTATTCAATTAGATTATAGCTATTAGTCGGCATTAGCTGCAGCTGCAGTTAGCATAAGTTGGCAGCTGATAAAATTTTTAAAAATTTCGACTAGTAGAACCATAAGGATCCGAATTCACTTTCGCATCTGTAACTAAATAATTTTCGGAAAATGACTATTATTTTCATAATCAAATTTATCGAAAAATGAAATTTATTATCGGAACCTCAAAACATGCCAACTTTTCAGTAAAAAGTTGATCACACTCCCCTCGCTACGTCCCTGAAAGTAGTAGTAGACAGGAGCTATAAATAGGTTTCTTGGGTGTAAGGCAAAATTAAACTTAAATAGATTTTAAAATAATACAAATTATTAGATACCATAATATATTATATTGAAAAGAATTTATAAAATATGTTAATAACCAAATAAAATATTATAAAAGCAATTATAACAATAAAATTATTTATTATAATATAAAAATGTGGTTTTATCAATTTTGAAGAGAAATTTTAAGTACGTACTACGTATGAAAAATCCAAGATGTATTTTACTCACCTTCATCAGAAAGCATTTTCGGTCTACACAGATTTTTCAAAAATATTTTGTTGTTTTTACAAAAATTTGCTTAATATATCATCTAGAGTATATTATATTAATTTTAAAGGTATACCCTTAGAACCAGGACAATATATTCTACAATTAAACCCATTGCATACCTACTCTAGAAAAATACATCAGCTATAAAAGTGATTTGTTGCATTTTTTCCTGTGAATAATAAAGGCTAAAGAAGCATCGGGTTTTTGCAACGCGCGCGCCATCTGGTGGCGCTCGATAGCAGTATTGGACTTCAAGGTTTGTCACATTTAAAGCAAACGAACTGCACTTTATTTTTGAACAAATAAGAAGTTTTTTTACAAAGGAGAGGAGGGCAGAAGTTTTACTCTACAAATTTAGTTTGCAAAGTTTTATTTAAACAGCCTAACCATGTAAAAACTGAAAAACTTTGCTTGGTTTAGTACCTGTTTTAGGTTCGTAAGTGTATTTTATCTAAGTGATCATGGTGGATTATTATTTTAATTGTAAATGTTTTTCCAAAGAATCCAATTCGATACGTAAATTTGTTGGTGCAGAATTAACTGATGAGAACTCTACCTAATAAAGGGTGATTCATTTAGACCTTTTTTTTAAATTCTAGATAAAACGCATAAAATAGAGTTGGATGGCGGAATCTTTATTATGACCTAAAAGAACGATCTTTGACATTTATTTTTTTTAAATAATTTCATTTAAATGCTGGCCGCGTACAGCGTGGTCCATTCGGAAGGTCCAATTTTCCATCACTCTTTCTAGCATTGCGACCGGTATCTGCCCAATTACCCGAGTAATGATTTCTCAATAAAGCTATTGTTTCGCGGGCTGTGTGTGCCGCAGCTCCGTCTTGTTAAATCAAAAGTCTTCGTCTATAATCCAGCTACGATTCAGGACTAAGAAGCCAACATTACTCGCCTCATTGGGCAGATACCGGTCGCAATGCTAGAAAGAGTGATCGAAAATTGGATCTTCCGAATGGACCACGTACGCCGTAGTCCCGGACAGCATTTAAATGAAATTATTTTCAAAAAATAAATGTCAAAGATTGTTCTTTCAGGATGTAATAAAGATTCCGCCATCCAATTCCATTTTATGCATTTTATTTAGAATTTAAAAAAAAAGGTCTAAATGAATCACCCGTTATAACTTATATTTCAGTTTGGTCATTTTAAAGAAATCCAACACAAAATAATAGTTATAGAAGCACAACCTTACAAACAAACTTTTATATATTCGAGTCCTCTAAAAAAAACGCCGACAACTGCATTTTTTAAAGTAAAAGACTGAAAATATCTACGAATTCATGGCAACATAATATTACATATAATACGACTTATTTATTTTATGATTTTGACTGAACTTAATAATTCCAATTTTTACGTAAATCATCAATAAAATGTGTATTTATTGTATTAGTTAGGTACAATTGATATTTTGTATTATTTTGTATTAAAAGCTGCAGTTTTGTTACGATGATTACGGTGGCGCTACTAGAGATGCTTCTTTAGCGTATATCTCTTAATATTTAAGATTTTTTAAGGAGACTTAAAGATTAACAAATCTATAATTGAGAAGAAATAATGGCGACAAATGTTATACACTTAATGGAAAACCATTTACAATATTAATATGAATTAGTGAATATATGCATCATCTTGGAGTAATTCAGGAGAGGCCGACCAATATTTTCTTCCGTATTTTTTAACATTGCAAACCAATCTTAGAGAAATAAAATAGAAAATTTCCACGATAGACAAAAAAGAGAATCCTGTAAACAATCCTAAAATACCTCCGCAGTTGGCAAGAAAATCGGTTTGACCATACAACTCGTTCCTTTCAGAGGTTATAAATTGTTGTTCTTTGAAGAAAATTGTTAATCTTGACATTTGTATCCTAAAAAAATATAGTAGAGTGAGCATATTTTTTGTCAGATAAATAATAATTACCCTGGAAATTCGCTAATGTTAGCTTCAAACGCCTTAAAAACTTCCTGGTAGTTGTATTCAGCTTGAGAAGTTTCGGCATTGTATGTCAATGAAGTGCAAGATGGCATACAATTGCAACGCGAAATATTTAAAAATTGAATTTCAGAATACTCGGTATCCATAGTTTCCAAACCTTCCTGTACGTCTTTATCCAATAAAGCACTTTGAGCCTCAAACATACATTTTAGACTACCAGAGCCACATATTTGTGTATGTTCCTCGTCTAAAAATTAATTAAAGGATGTTTCAGAAAACACTAAAAACTTAGGATTTGCAAAGTTGCACTAAAATCTTACGGGGCATGTAGTAGGCTACGCATCCACAAGCAGCAAGGGTAGCGTTTGTGAGACATTCAATCTGGCAATTTTGTTGGGTATAACTTTTATAATACGCCAATTTTCTTTCGCTCGGAAAGAAACATTGTCTTCTAGCTGGATCGTAACCTCTTAGACCCTCGGAAGTAGTCATCATATCCGGTTTAATGCTAACCACCACTTCCTGATTCAGAGGTATACGGAAGTATTGTAGCTGCACTCGAGGAATTTCTGCAGGATGATGCAAAAGAATCTACAAACAATATGATAGTAATATTTTTTTATATTAAATAGAGTCAAATTAACCAATAAGTTTAGTATAAAATTATTACTTTGAATCCTTGCACAGGTCCTTTACACATGTAGTCCAAATCCTGCTGAAAAGCTGACAGGACTAAGAACAATCCCCCACTAGCTCCTGCAGACATTGCTCTGCGTGGGAAGGTGTCCTTAGGGGATCCTCTGGGATATCCATTCTCCAAAGACCATCCTTCCGATTTTTGACCATGAGACATGTAATCACCATGTAAAAATCTATAATATAATTATAATTAGTAAAAAATTATCACACCCTTTTTAATATTATCCTTAATGAGTAATAATTTCTGAACTAATTTATTAGGATGATTAAATTATAATTTATTTACCATTATTAAATAAAATATTTTTTTAATAAAATAAAAAAAGTATTATCTTAAAGTAACTTACACATTGTCATTAACTAATTCTGTTTTATCCAACATATTAAAGGTATAACAAAGTCCTTCATCAGTTAGATGTTTGGTAAATAGATTATGGCATGAATCGTTATGCATTGTCCATTTACAGCTAAAGAAAATGTCATCAAATTGAGGAGCCACCTACAAAATATTATGCTTGTATACTTATTATCTAATTGTAAACGACAAAATCAAATTTAGATATAATCATGTCCAAAACTCAAAGAAACGATTTTGTAAAAAATATACCTATTACAAAAAATGGTAATAACTAATAAAAAATATAATATAATACTACAAGAAGTATTAGTAGTAGCCATAGTAGTATAAGCTTAAAATAATAACTTTACTGCAAATAGTTATTGGACACTTAAGGAATATTATTTATGTAAAATTATATATGCCGTTGTTATAAAGATTTTAGTGTTTTTCTTATAAATATATAAAAAGGATAGTTTGTTTGTTTAAACTTTATTTTATTTGCGTTTACTTAAAAATAGGAATATTGGAATTTTAAATAATAGTTTTATAAAAACATGCAAAAAAGTATAGTAATTGGACATTTTATATAGTAATTCGACAGATGGACCATAGTTATTGGACATACAATTTTTATATAAACAAAACAACTTTACATCAAATAACATAAATTGTTAAATATTTTTTAAAGATAAATTGCTGTTTTAGGTTTTTTTTATTTTGTTTTTGTAAATATCATATAGTTCATATATTTCTTTCTTGGATTCCTCATCCCTTTTCTGGATTCTGAAGGTAACTACTAGTTCCTTGGTCTGACATCTGAAATAGTTTGTTGCAAATATCATTAAGTGTGGTATCTCTAGTTTGTGAAGCATGGATGATTTATATATATCTAATATTTTTTCGGGTGTATGTTAAGTATTTTCCGAATTTATTAATTTTGTTGCCATTAGTTTTTTATGTTCTCTATCATGCACTGTATTTAAATCACTGTTATTCTTCAAGATGTCCTGTGACGAAGAAATCACTATATTACTTACTTTCTAAAAATTAATTAGTCAAAAATGTCATAGCGATAAAGCAGCCACTAATAATTCTCGTCAACAGCAACTTGTATCCAGGACGTCAATTCCTATGAAATCTATTCGCTGAATCCAAAAATGTCGTCAAAAGTTATAAAAGTAGGACAGTTTTTGAAATATAATCAATTTTACATATATATGGAATTTACTATAAAACTGTTTAACTTTTATAGTTTTTGACGGTCTTTTCGGGTTCAGGGGACAATTGGCTGGTAAATGCCCACGATACAAATATAGTATGATATTGGACATATGTCCAACTAGTAATTGGACACTGCCATTTTACTGTTTGTTTTCAGAATTAAAATTAAAACGCATTGAAGTGACAATGTTTAAACCATGAGAAACACATTTATACCACACACTGATCTGTACACTTTTTAGAAATATTTTTTATTGTAATTTAAACACAGCCCTGCTCTTAACAAAAAAACAAAAATCTTACCACGAAAGTAAAGTGCGAATTTGTTTGTCCTATATTGGACCCAAAAAAAGTAGTTCTATATTATTACCGACTAAGATAGTTATAATTGTATACAGCCTCATCTAATGATTTGACTTTAACTATTTAAAGAAATCTTGTTTTTAAAGTATTAATGTTAATTGTCCAATTGTCCAATAACTATAAAGTGTCCGATAACTGCCTACTTTACCCTACTGCTTTAGTTTTAAGTAATAAAGGAAAAACATCCTAATAAATGCTTTTTAACTTATCAGGTATCACCAATAAGTTTAAACAAGCATGGAATACAATTAAGTATATTTGATGTTTTAAGTGTTTTGAATAGCTTCTGCAAAAGCTGTGCACATTTAAATATTATTTAAAAAACTTAAAACTTAAACATAATGTTGACCTGTGAAATTATAGAGTTCTTAGGTATAGGTATTATTAAATAAATACTTACACTCATAAGGTATTCTATGGTTTTAAAATCGGTTGTTTTGTTACCATTATTATAAAGATGACTGTCACAAATAAGGGCAATATCTGAAAGTCTATCCAGCCTAAAAAATTTATATTATTAACAATCTAAACACACACAAAAATCTTACTCTTTATCGGTAAAATTTCGATGTTTTACAAACTTATTATATGCATCAGTGAAATTAAATTTAGTTTGTCTTGCTTTAGTTTCTGAACAAATTGTGATTGCGGGAAACGGAACCTGCCAAACAGGAGTGGGACTTCTCGCAAAACTTACAAGTACTGGGGAAGTGTCCCATTTTATGTAAGTTTGTATGATTAATCCTATACAAAAGTAGAGGGAAACACAAAAAAGAATCAGCCAAAAAGTCCTAAAAAAGTTAAATTATTTATTTTAGTTATACGAGTGTGTTTCGAAAAGTTCCCGGTCTGATACAGACATGTCGCTACTATCACCAAAATTTTATATATAAAAAATGCATTTAAAATAATAAACATTGATTGTAGTAATCATATAAAGAAAGCGATTGTTAATACAAATAATTGATAAAATTGATGATTTAATGTAATCAGGTCGATAAAACCCTTATAAAACAAAAATCTTATATTTACTTTTCGAATATGCTTCTGTTCTGTTCTCCCATATACTTAAATCCATGTATACCAGTATTTTCAGTAAACTCAGTAAAATAATCATGGACATTTTTCCTAAACCCTGGGTATTTTCTCTTAGATTTGTATTCAGGTCCATTTTCTAATTTTACCAGATCTGCTTCAGGTATTTTGTCGCTTGAGCTGACTGAGCTTGCTCTCTTCATGTTTCTATAAGTGATTAAATTTGTTGTGAGTTAAAGTTTTTCGAGCCATTGAATTTATTCAGTCCATTTTAGTATTTTTAAATTTATTTTTTGGTAAATAAAGTAGGTAATTTAAAAAAAAAATGTTGTTTAATTAACCTTTTCCAATTCATAACTACTTTCATTTCATTTAAAACTAAATAGTATTATTAATACCTCCATTATAAGTCAAAAGGTCCTTACACGGTATAAAGAAAATAACGCACCTATTAAATAGTTATATATGTATCAAGGCAGTAAAGTCGTATTTTTTATCACGAATGTGGAAATTATTTGCAGAGGCGAAAGCCGAGGCAAATAACCTCGTGAGTGATAAAAAATGACTTTAATGCCGAGGTGCATAATTAATTTTATCCGAAATCGCATTTAATAATACTAATAATTAATATTGAAGATCAAATCAAATGTCATTTGATGATAAAATACTAAGTCTAGCATGGGCCAGGTGCCCTTTGAACCTAACTTAGATGGATCGTTTAGTTTGTCCAACATATTTCTTGTCACAATCTTAACAGTTTATTTCTTTAAAATATTACCAAAGTTGTCCTTTTCCAAGTATCCTGTATAGAACTTAAATTTAAAACTTTTGAATTTTGATGATACCAAGGGCTCATATCATTCGAAATAAATAAAAAATAATGCTTAATAATATAGGGTTTTCGATATTAAATAATACATTTGTTATTCCGGCCAAAGTCACTGTTCAAAAAATTTTAAACTTGTCAGTTCAACCGTATAAAGCCACTGTTATACGGTTGAACTGACAAGTTTAAAATTCTTTAGAAGTTTTGCAGATTTATAGCTTTTATTATTTAAGAGTTTCAGGTACAAGAAAAATTTATTTAAAATATTTTTTCAAAATTTCTTTCAAATATTATGGTAAATTATCAATATTTTGTTCTGGCCAGAAAAACTAAAACATTGGATTAAACATAGAGAGATAAATACCTACTTTATTTTTTTAACATAAATATAAATGTAAATTATTTTATTTTTGAAAAGTAAAATGATGATGTTAATATTGTAACTAAAATTATATGGCTCAAAAATAATTTAATATAAATAATATTAAGTCTCACAAACGATGTACTAAATATTATACAGTCCAATCTCGCCGAGTCAAACAGTATTATGGGACATATTATACCATATAAACCAGTAAATTTCTTAAAACAAAAAAATAGCAATATCTAATTGCAATATTTGGCCCTAAGCTAGGTGTGGACTTAACATCATTTTTACACTGCTGTATCAAAAACAAGGCGAAAAATTGTAGGAGAAAAACGTAAAATGTCACTTTCTAAAAAAAGTGGGCTTAATATAATATATTTAAATTAATAGAATTTGAGGTTAAAAAAAAATTAAAAAAATTATTTTAATTTAAAAAAATTTAAATATTTTTCTTATAAGAATATATAAATATAAAATTAAAATAACATAATTTTTTCAAGCGTATAATAATTTTCATATCTAAATGTAATTAATGTAATTCTATATAGAATATTAATACTAGTTCAAAAATCAAATTATTATAAACCTTAGTACAAAAATGAAGCTAAAATGTTATTATAGAACATCTTAAAAAATATTCTAATTAAATGCTTAAAAAAATAGTTTATAAAACTCGTCTGCAAGAATATTATATATTATGTATACATTGTATAATATTTTGTATATAATATAAAATGTTAACCTAAACTTAACATATTGGGGCCAACTTTTCATTATAAATAATATTTCAATTATTCAAAAAGGTTTTAAATAATTTTAATACTAATACAAACAAACTGATTTTTTTAGGTCAATAAATTTTAAATTTGTTTTCCTTAGAAAATTTCCTTTTCTGTGTAAATAAGTCACTAAAATATTTAATAAATTGTCTTCTTTCAACACAAAAATGTCAAAAGGTATAAATAAAAAATATATATTATTTGCTTACCTAATTTCTATGTCGTTTTAAACAAACATAAGTCTGAATATTGCAGCACTAAAAAGTTCATAAACTTTAAAAAAGTCTGATGAACTTCAGTCCAAAGCAGACAGACACACGCACTTGCTGGTGTATCTTTAATCGAACCATAAAATAGGTATGTTCATTTAGAATTACCAATTTAATAACATTGTAGATACACACCTTGTGCCAAGGGACCCTATACATTTTTCTTTTTAGTTGCGATTAAACACCATGATAAAAATTAATTAATAAAAATTTGTAATTAAATGAACATTACCCACCGTAGGCGATGAATATTATTATGAGATAATTAAAAAGTGTTTACCGCAAAAACAAAATTAATTATGATAAAAATTCCACAAATTTAGGTATAGTCTATGTCAAGTAAATGTAAACAGCACAAAAACTTTAACTCCACTCATAGGCGGCATTTTCTTTATATATCATAGGCGTGCAATGCGACAGTACACTGAAAGAAATTTGTTGCTAAAAGTAAATACAAATTTATACTAAAAATTTTATACTAGTGCTTTACACATTTATACTACTGTTTATTATGAATGTATGTTAAATTTTTTAATACATTTATTGTAAAGAAGATATGTTAGATCTAAATAAAAATAAACTTACCCTTACTATAAAATGTAAACTATAAGTGAATTACAGCAAAAAAATATTGCTAGAAACACCATTTATATTGCTAGGGCAGCAATAGGCTGCTAACCAAACGAATATATTTGTTTTAGCAATGTATGTGGTAGTCCATATATGAAACATAAAATATATTTGCCCTAATTATTTTTTTATTTAACTTTAGTATATATTTCTTTCAGTGTATAAATGCATAAAGGGAGAGGTCAATTTAAATTTAGCATGATAGTAGGAGTAATAAAAGACTTTTTAGTGTAATTTTTTACACCCAAAAGTCCCACCACATGATTTTGATACAAATAATTAAGATTAATATTCTATTAGTGTCAAACTAGTTTCGTCCTGTTTTCTGAAAATAATGCAATATAGTTATTTTTTTATATAAACGTCTTAATTAAGAATTCAAAAAATACACCGTGTTCAAAGTTATCTGCTTACCATTGCTAACTTCGTTATTATTGGAGCTGCAAAGTTGGTTAAAATAGAAAATTATTTACATTTTTTTCTGATTAAAATGGTGAAAATAAAAACAATTGAACATCGGGTATCCAAAATATTTTCAAAATTAACATTTTTTTAATGTATATTTTTAAATATTTTGAATAAGAATTCATTTTGAAACAAAAATTATAATTGCCGTAAGCATATAAGTTTACAAAATAAACAATTAATAATATAAGCTTATAAAAAATAGAATATAAACTTATAAAAATAAACCAATAATAGGCACTTGAACTTTCCTACCATTCATTATCATACTGACCATTTGTTATTTTCACAGAACATTTAATATTATACTGACCAACTGAAATAAAATAATGGAAAAGTGCACATAAAATTGAAATACTAAAAATTTAATTTGTACTGTTTAAATAAAACGATAGTTTTAATTATAACTTTATATAATATATAATACCTATAAATTTAATACATATATTTTAATATAAACTATTTATAAATTTATTTTAATCCTAATTTCAATTTTTCTATATAAAAGTATCATGTATTTATATTGTTTTCGTACTTTTGTTTAAATTCTTCTACCATTTTAAACTTTTGAATTTTTCCTGAGGTAGTTTTAGGAAAACTGTTTACTTTTTCCATTTTTGTGGGAATTTTAAAATCTGATATATTACCTTGGCAAAATTTTTTAATATCTTCCAAAGTTATATTGGAACCCTCTTTAACGCGAACACATGCACATATTTCTTCACCCAGCCTTTCATGGGGAAGACCAATTGCCTAAAATTTAAAATAAATCCAAATTAGTATCAAAATCTATAATAATAAAGAAAAAAAATTGTTGAAAAAACTTACATAATTTTCTAAAATATCTGGATGGGTATTTAAATAATCCTCGATTTCTCTTGGAAATATATTTTCACCGCCACGAATAATCATATCTTTTAATCTACCCACAACTCGTCCATATCCATCTTCTTCTAATACGAATTGATCGCTGTTAATAAAAGAAAATAAATGAACTAAATATTTATTTATTGTAATTTAACATGCAGTATTAGCTTTAAGGGTGCGCAAGGTAGGTCAGGTGTACAATTTAAAAAATGACCAATGCTTCCGAAAATAACAACAATTAATTATAATTAAATGTGTACTTGGAAAAAGGCAAAATTAAAAAAAAATTAAAAAAAAAATTCACATTTACATGTGTAATATATTAAAAAGTTTAATTTAATCAGGCCTTCAGCAGTTTACCGCACTTTAGCACAGTATATTTAACCCTGCCGCAGAATTATATTTCATAAAACCTTTTACCTATGTGAAAAATTCGTTTAGATTAGGAACCAGGTTGGTAACTAAAAACTATTATATTTTACCAAAATATACAAACAATTTGATATGTTTAGAAAACATTTTTTTCACGAGCCTATTCAAATAGTATATACCTATAAGGGTCTCTTAAAGTTAGTCTATATTAAAAAATAGGTTAACTTTTATATTATCCAACTCGTATTGTAAACTTGCGTCATCATTCTGTTTTAATTTCATACAATTTATCTATTTTATATCAAAATATTTTACCCTGTTTTTAACCATCTATCATTTCCTATTGTATCTTTAGTTTTTTCTTCATCGCCCCAATATTCCAACATATTAGCGTAAGTTCTTACATATAACTCTCCTGGAGTACCTCTAGGTACAATATTACCATTATTATCAACTACTTTGGCTTCTACGTGTTCAGAGACATGTCCAACTGTACACGTGGACTTATACTCATCATCGCCCTCCATTGATTGAAATATAACGGCTGTTGTTTCAGATAACCCATATACCGACTATAAATTACAGTTTAATTAATATATGTTAAGACATTAATACCAAAAAATATTTGATTAATAGCAAAAATCTTAAAAAAATAATATTTCGGTTTGTTAAAAGTTTTAGAAATAGTTTCATTTTGGCGTGAGTAATAACCATCTAAACATCCATATAAAATAGCATTATAATACTATAGTACATATCGTATATTAATGCATTCCTGCCTTGAAGGCTCCTGAATTTGCAAGACGGATCGGCAAAGCTAAGCCAATTCTGTTTCTAACAAAATTAACCTTAAAAGTCCACATAAAAAATCAAACACATGAAATACAAATAAGAAGATGGGTTAATGCCGTCAGACCAAAACTATAATCAGTTATTCATCTGAAAATCTGGCCAAATACAGTATACAGCTATCTCCTCTAAACCTTTCTGACCTTTTCGGAAACTAGAGCCTGTAACTGGGGGGAAAAATACACATTGTTTGTGAATGTCCTGCTCTTCTCGAATTCAAAAAATCCACCATTGGTGAAGAATGTGTTGATGCAACCAACATTAGCTCTATCTCTCCTGCTGTCTTTCTATACTGTTTAAAATATCTGTGGTGTAAAAAGTAATCTTAAAATGGTGTCAAAATCCAACACCAAGTGGTGTTAATATAACACCATGAATTATGGTTGAAAATGTGTACCGATCGCGGCAAAGGCGATGTGGATCACGTGATGTTCTTAAATCTCGCCTCTGTTGACTTACATGAAGAATATATAAACCTAGGTAGTCCTTTGCTTTGGTGTGACACTACAAGTTGTTCGATACTAAAGAGACCTTAAATAGGTGGAAACAGCTGTCAATAATTGAAGTATTTTAAGTTAGTGGAACGCACTAAAAACATTATCTCTAGCGAGTTGAAGGTTCCATTTTCTGGAATAATACCAGTGGTAATATTCTAGGAACTTCCTGTTTCCTTTTTTTTTTTCCTTTTTTCTGTGTAGTATGATTTAATTTGACCACAAACACATAATATTTAACACTGAAAAGGAGTTCAATTCACACCAGGTACAATTTATTTTAATACTTTGTGAAAGTTAAATTAACACCATTTTAGTATTTGAATTTACACCGGACCAACGAACCATATTTAACACCATTTTGGTTTGTATCGATATAGACCATGTATGGTGTTAATTTGGTTTAAAAATGGTCATGAAATTTTGAACAGTGTAGATTTCTTCTAGAAACTCGGATGGCTGAAAAACTTTTGAGCAACCCAAGAAAAATGGATCTCGGAGGTAGAACAAAGGGCCAACTGTTTATTATTGTAAACCTGACTTTGTAAGCATCAATATAGAAAGGATGGGAGGTGTTTTTTAAAATTTGCGAATTAACTTTCTTTAAAGAACAAGTATATAAAAAATTGAAGCAGTATAAAAAATACAGAAAAGCCCTTCGACCGAAGTTACGTATCTTTACCGAGTTAACCAACTTACTAATTTTAAAGGTTTTAAAAGGCTAATCGATTTAGCAAAAAAACTTTAGGGCATGTTTATGAATTCATTACAGAAGATTTTAAATTTAAAAAGTGAATTATTAACTCTTATCATTATCTAATCTTCTTTTAACCTTGTCAACTACTTACTTTTACTTTGTTTAGTTTTAAATATTTTTTCATTCGTTTAAATAAATGAGGTGAACATATTGCCCCACCAGAAACTGCTATTTCTGGATTTATATCTTCGTTTCTTTCCATTTGTCTATTCACTAAGTCCACATACATTGTCGGAGTTCCATGTATAATCGTACATCTAAGAAATAAAATATTTTATTTATCTAATAAAACTCATTTGCACTAATAATTGACAAATCTAATAAAAGACAATTTTAACTTTTTAACAGCTCTTTGATGGATTCATAATTTTTAATGAAAACTCGGAGGTGGGCCATTAATCATCTCTCATCCCAATATAAAATTATTTCTACTACAAATACATACTTTTCATTTTTAATAGCATCTAAATTTTTGTCAGGGTTGTATCCAGCTGATGGTAACACCAATGTAGATCCATAATTTAATGCAGCAGATATTGTTATACAGGTGCCAAAGGCATGGAAAAGCGGGACCTGGACGCAAATTTTTTGTTGTTTTTTGTTTAGTTCATTTCTTTTACCAACGAAAAATCCATTATTAACCAAATTAAAGTGGCTTATAGAAGCTGCTTTAGCTTTACCAGTGGTGCCCTAAAACATAAAATAAATATTTATCGATTTAACAGAGTTAAAATAAATAAAAACTATTCTTAAATTTTGTACTAGTCTTTAGTCAAGTTTCAATTTCTGTTGCCAAAGACGTTCTAAATGAGACACTATTCTACGAAGTATTTCTGTGGGTAAAAGACATAAGGGGATAAGTCAAAACAATCAATTTTTTAGTAGTGCCTTAAACGTGTTCGCATTAATTTAGAAAATATATTTATGGTTATCGGGTATATCCTTTTGCCAGCACATGTCATATGCTAGCAAAAGGGTATGCTCGCTAACCATAAATATATTTCCTAAATTAATACGAACACGTTTAAGTCTCTACCGAAAAATTGTTTTTTTGACTTATCCCCTTATGCCTTTTACCCACAGATTTTATAACATATAATATACATTTTAACCACATCCAATTTAGAATTTGACAGTTGATTGTTCAATAAAATCTCTTAACCAGGATATTTTAGAGGGTGGGCATTATCAAGTTAACTTGGGCCGTCGTGACACGTCTCCGGTGCGCCAAACCAAGGGGGTGTCGTGCTATTTTGAATTAATTAGAAATAAATTTAAAAAATTTAAGAACCACTGATCAAAAGTGGTAACCTAACAAAAAAAAGACTGAATGTTTATTTTAATCTTGACATTAGGCAAGAGAAAAAGTAATTACATATTAGTTTTTTACATATACTTACCTGATTGCTAAGGCCGCCCTGCTCTTAATAAGAATACCTTTAGTTAATATTTCTATAGTATACTAGTACTTGAAAAAGGACAACTTTGGTGATATGTTAAACAAATATTATAAATATTCCCCAACACCAAAAGCAAAGTTTACCTGACTAAAAGTAATTTAAGCAGTTTGTTTTTTTTGTTGGAGAATATTTATAATATTTGATTACTACTAGAAGTTGTAGGATACATTGCTGCTATAAAGCTAGGTCAACAAACAACGCCTGTAAACTTATGTTTAAAAGGACATTATACAAATAAAGAAAATTAAAAGGCTAATGGAACTTGCAATGCAGGGATACACAAGACGGCCTGAACCTGTTTTCCCTTAAAAGTAGGTCTTAAATTTATAATTGAATAAATTAACTCATTAAATACCGATACAAATTCAAGCAGATGAGATCTCGAACGAATTCGATCGCTCTTAAGTGTACCTAATAATAATAAGTCTTAAAGAAACATAAAAATCGCTTATATATAGTGAAATTAGTTCAAAGATTTACTACTTGGACAAGAAAAATTAGTGTACCTGTTGCTCAAAGTCCTAATAGAAACATTAAATTAGTACATTAAAAAGCAACCCTCAACAAGTAAATATAGTGTATAAAGACCATATTGACAAGGAAATAATTAAGTGATAAGTGACAGCATACCTGGATCTAACCCCAGCCCAAAACGAATCACCTTATGAGAGTGGAAGGGGTCATCTGCAAAAATCTGATAAGTACTAATTAATCGCATGATCTAATATGCAAATTCGGAACAAAACCATCATAAAAATCATTATTACTGAAAACAGCGTAACTTTGTAAATAAACCAATCATTAGGTAAGAACGTCACAACACATACATAAGCATAAACTTAAGAGGCCAGCCCGAACAAAATTAAAATGTTTAAAACTTAACGAACGAAACTAAAATAAACAACTAGTTCCGATATTTGCCTAACATAAACAATAAGGGCAAATTTTCGTTAAATGTACATTTGCTGTCCCCAGCTAATTTTATTTTTATTTTTGACCTTTGTTGATAAGTTTTGTATTTATTATATTTAAATACCCCCTTTCTGTTAGGACCCATCGAATTATTTTTTTTTAATTACTTTGTGTTTCTATACATATATATGGCAGAAAAACTAGGTGAAATGTCCTGTAACTTAACTGTCCCCAGAGGCGATTTTTTAATTTAAATTATTATATTCTTCTTCTTTGCAGCTTTCTTCTGAAAAAATAAATTATTTTTGAACAATGGAAAAATCTTTTATTCGTATATAAAACCAAAATAGTTTTCTACAAAGTAGTTTAAACAGAAAAAAATATTAAAGTTGACATACAAAAATCTTGTCTTTTTCCTAACGTCGCGACGTCGTCTTCTATGCCGACTGCTTCGAAATAGAGCCAGGAGATAGAGATTCTAGCGTTTTATTTCTAAAGGGCATCCAGTTTGATAGTTCGGTAACAACAAATGAGCACGTGTAAAGTGTGTGATTTTTTTTGTAAATATTTTTTTGGGTACACTTTTTGGTGTCGTTTACAAAACGCTACATACAACTCTTGTTTTAGAAGTTAACTTTTTTATTTTCATTTTGTATTATAGCATAGTAGAAATTCCAAACAAATGCCGAAAGATATTTACATTTAAAAGTATTTCTGAAAAATAATGTTTGAAAAAGTCAAAAGCAATGTGTCATAAAACGTTCAGGAAGATCCGTTAGGAGGAGGACAATGTTTCATTTCTTCCTTGTGTTCCTTCCATATTTCAGATTAACCCTACAACATTTAAAGTTTATTTTTGTTATTAAATTCTAAAAAAAATTCTATAAGTTTATAAATTTTATAAACTTATAGAATTGCAGTATGTTACACTGTTCTATCACAAAGGAAAAAAAACGATCAAATTGACCTGCCTGGCCAAGTAAATATATATATATATGTATACAAAATATACATTTAACGAAAATTCGCCCATAAACCATTAACCACCTTTAAATTTTAGGCACCACACAAAATTATTAGCCTGTTGCGAGCCGTATAAGACAATTAAAAAAAAACAAAGTTAAGAGGAACTATATAGAATAAATAATATGAATGCAACTTTTTGTTGTTTGTGCAGTTGCGAGATACGTATGAGAACTGAAATATGGTAAAAATAACTATGGATATGATCGTTTAATTAATACTTACTGACGTAAACTGGATATTAAAGGAATCATCACACTTAATTTTATTTTGTTCATTTTTAATTTTTTTGATTTCATTTTCATTTGCAATATTCAAAATGTGATTGTAGTTAAATGTCCCTCTAAAATACAAATCATATGAGTTTAGGTTTATTAATAAATATTTTATATATGTATACTAATATTAAGTATAAGAAATCTTTACCTACTTTAATTCCTTATCAGCTATGGAAATTATACTTTTTAAACTAGGTACATTGTTATTTTTTATTTTTCCAGGTTCATTTGTAATTAAGTTTGGTATAACCTTATTTAAAATTTCGTAATAATTTTGCTTTTTATAAATATGGCCAGATATCATTGCCTTAATTCCAACCTTATTTATGCAATATTCTATTTCCTTATGTTGAAACAGGGGATTAATAGCAACCTAAAAACAAATCAAATAAATTTACCTAAATAACTGTATATCTAAAAACTATAAAATATATAATTAGATGAATGTGAACCGGCTCAGTGAACTGATTTACATGAATCGGTTCACGAAAATTAAACGAACTATAGAAATGTGTTAGACTTGGTCGCGGCCTGTTTTTAGATGTCCCCATAGGAAAAGTCTAGAGGTGTTAGATCTGGGGGTCTCGATCGCCATTTCACATGTGTGGAAAGGTAATATTAATAATAATTCCATACATGAAGAACATAGTGGGTTGGTGCACCGTCTTGTTGAAGCCATATCCTTTTATTGGGAAAATTAGGTTCCAATGTATTTGGAAACAACTCTGCAAAAGTTGGAACAACCTGTTCTTTTAGCATTTCCAGATATTTTGCCCTGTAAAGATTTTCAATGACTTTGTCGCATCCAGGGGGGGTTTTTTTCTACCCAGTAGCTGCAATTGTGCCAATTTACCTCGACATTTAGAAGAAATGTTGATTCTTAAAAAAATATATATCTGCAGTAGAAATAACATTCCTGTTTAACAAATCCAGCATTTGCTCGAAAAAATGCAATCTTCTATCAGAATTATCTTAAATCAATTCTTGTGCCTACGTGTTGTAGTTTATATGGATGCATTTTTTTGACTTTTAAACATCTCAAAACAGTCGAATGACTATTAACTAACGTCCTTTTTACGTGCAATCTGACTCGTAGAAGTTGTTGGATCTTCTTAAAAAGGAAATAAAATAATGTTTTAAAAATATTGACTTTCATATTTTCATCAATAACATGAGGCGTCCTGTGTAATGGTTTAACATGTCCATATTCACGAAATTGTGCATGTATTTTAGACACAATTGTCTGAGAAAGTGGTGGTAATTCTGGGTTTTTTCTTTTAAAGTGTTTGCAACTTGCTCTTGTGATCTGCACATATTACCGTAATCAATCATCATTAATATTTCAATTTGCAGAGTATTACACACTTTAAAGACAGCTGAATGCCATATTGTCACATTGAATTTAGTTATATATAGCCTTTCATTCAAACTCCCAATTATGCCATTAACATGATATAAATATATATAAATATGAATATTTATCCCAAGGCCATCAACATCTGAACTAGAAATATTTTAATTTCTAATACTGCGTTTTAAAAAATAGCTCCTTAAATATTAATATAAGAAAGTTAAAATAAAAAAAATTAATTCTTTGGTCCAAATTGCATTTTTTTTCTATTAATTAAACAAAATTGTAATTAATTATTTAAAAAATATTGTTCTTTAAAAATATCATCATTTACCAACAATGTATAAATCTAACACTAACTAATATAACACTTAAAAATATTTTGGATGTTGTACAAAAAAAATCATCCTTTATATTTTCCGTTTATAAATTAATGAAACAAAATTTTGTAATTAATTATTTAAAAAATATTGTTCTTTAAAAGTATCATCATTTACCAACAATGTATAAATCGTTATAAATATATCACTTAAAAACATTTTGGATGTTGGACAAAAACATCATTGTTTTAAGATTTTATTCGGGAATTTTTTAAACAATATTTATTATTATTTTAACATGCACTAAGATAAAACTAATTTAATATTTTAGTATGCTTACAGTTGTTAGGCCTGCCCTGGCACAAGCCATAAAAGAAATATACCATTCTATTAAATTGGGTGCCCATATACCCACTCTGTCCCCATAATTTAGTTCAATACTTTTCAGTCCAGCAGCTAATTGATCAGCCCGGTAAATTATTTCATTAAAAGTTAATTTTTGATTTTGATGACAGGAAATTATGCCTACGGTATCACCATTTTTATTACAAGTTTCTTCTAAAAGTTGACCCACAGTTAGGGGTCTTAGTGGAAGATTTACGGGATTGTGTACGTAGCTGAGTGTACTGCTAAACTTTTTGGATCTACAAGAAATAAGTGGTTTAATTTAATTAAATAAACTCATCAACTTATTTAATAATATTGCACCAGATAAGATTGTGTGTGACGCATTCTCTAGACATATTGTAGCATAATAATAAGAAATATAATCAACATTTATTAGGTAAAATAATATGTTTTACTTTACTGTCCAAAATTGATCTTTAAACGTTACTCAAGCCCAATGATTTGTTCTTTATTATTTGTAATAGTATAAGTTTATTAAATTTTAAACTTCTTAAGTAAAATAAATTTTGTTTAAGACTTTGACCTTTTCGCAATATTGATTTAAAATTTGTTTTTAAAAATATGATTTTATATATAAGTACTATATTTATAATAAAATTCCATATAATACCCTAAAGCGAATTTTTATATTATTATGAAATAAAAACTTAACCTAATAAGTTAATTTTAATAAAAACAGTAGAAAATTTTTACTTACTTAGATGTGTTTATGTTTCTTATTAAATTGCAGTACATGTGCTGTATACAGTGGTTTTAAAGGTAATATATTTTATAAAAGCTTATTTAAAGTTTTTAATTAATTTTGTACTTACATTTTAAATATTCGTTTATTCAAAAAAATTGTTTCTTTTCCATATTTAAACATTTCGTAGTTTTACGGGAATTTTAACAATCAATAACCGAAAACAATTTTAATTGACTATTAAAATCCCCATTTGGTGTGTTATCTTTAGGTCTAAAAATATATAAATATAAAGATAACAACTAAACTAATATAAATTACTTGGTTTGATAAAGTTGATACACTACATTTGTGTAAAACTATAGTTTATAGTTTTTAAACATGCAAAAAAAGTAATTTGTTAATTATAATAATAACCTTTATTTGAGCAGGTAAACAAAACCATTATAAATGTAATATTTTTTAATAATTTTAAACCATTATTGACATTTAGATACGACATTAAAATTTACCAGTATTTTTTTATTTGAAGAGCTACAAAATCGGTTAAATTAGAGAAAAGTTGAGTAATTCCAAGCATATTAAAATGCAATTTATAAATTTTTAAAAAAGCCAGCGGTTGAAATAAACTAAAAATCTTTCAAAACTAAAAATCGATTTAACTTCTTATTCCTGGGAATTTTGAAAAGTAAGTTTTACATGTAAACGTACACATTAATTTATATAATCTATTTTATAATTTTATAATTCTATTAATTAAAATTAAAATTCGTATAAATAGAAATATAATTATCATTATAATGATAATAATAATTTTATTTTTAAGAGCAGCCTAAAACTTTACCTTTGGTTATTGTTTTAAAACAATGCTTTAATGAATGTAATGAGTAAGTAGTTATTTATGTTTCCCTTGGGTTTTAGTTACTCTTTACATTAGGGTGTCCGTTATTTACCAAGTTGACTGTTTTCACTTGGGTATCGTTTAAATTGTTAGTTTATAACCTAAAAACAATTTTGAAACAAAAAAAAAATTTCCGATGCCGTTTAACTCTGCCTAAATGACGATACTTTTCCCATTCATTTAACATGGAGTTTTTGGTTTTTGGAAATTAATTTTGTTCTTCTTTATTATTTTCCATAACTTACCTAATATTGTTGATTCTGCTTTTATTATGACCCCTTTGGATAAAGAAATTTTGATATTGGCGTCAAAAATTTATTCCGTAAATTCTGTCGAAAATTCATTTATACTGTTTTTTTTTTCTTAATTTACCGACCATTCAATATTTATAATAATGATAGAATAATTCTGTATTTAATGTTAAATTTTATTTTATACGCTTTTAATATTGACTACACTGTAGAAATCAACTATTTAGGGACTAGATAAACTGATATGATAAATCAGTTGATATAAATAACTCAACATTTCTGCATACGGCCCTTAGTGATTTAAAACATTTCTACTCCTAGTACGGAATTTGACCGTTCTATTATCACTTTTATCTATGGATTGACATATATTCCGTAAAGTGTTACAGAATGAAATATTCTATCATACTATGACAGAATAAACACTCGTGGCGACATCTCTGTTTTTAATATCTAACAAATTTTAGACCGATCCAACCTCACTTTCTTCCAATCAAATGACTTTTCTATGGTATTTTTTGGAAACGTAGAAAAAGTATAGTCTGAAACACGTTTGGAAATGCATATTCCGCTCTCGGCCATCTCCATTGATGTTTTAAGTACAAACATGTACTTAAAATGCCCATTTCCCTTTTGAAATATATGTTTTTTAAATTAAAACTTAAATCTGGTTACTTATTTTGTAGAATAGTATATTCTGTAACAAGTTTGGAATATGCAATTCCAAACGTGTTTCAGACTATACTTTTTCTACGCTTATAAAAAATACCAAAGAAATAATTTAATTGGAAAAAAGTTAGGTTATCTTTTGACAGATGTTAGATTTTATGATGGTAGTAAATAAGATAATTTTTAAATAAGCTTATAAAAATTACTTACATAATTTTGCAGAACCTAAAAGGAAGTATAAAGAAGTAATAAACTTTTTTTATTCTTTATTATTTACATGTATTTTAATATGATCAATATATATATATATTACTATAGTACAGTTTTGAAAGGTTAAATTTGGGGAAATATTTAAGTTTTCTTTATTTACTAAGGAATTTAAATTCAAAGCTGCAGTTGAAGATTGAGATGATCCTGGGTTTGATGCTTCAATTTCAGTAATATGAGACATTAGTTTATTAGACACATCTAATCTACTGGATAAAGAATTGTCAATATAACATTCTCAGAAAGAGAAGTCGTATTTTTACTTTTACGCCAGTCCATAAATTGTTTATAAATTTGCAGATAAACTTCTTTGGACTTCGCAGGTAGTAAATCTAGCGTTGTTTGATTGGCCTTTTCAGTTAGTTCTGGAGGAGTGTTTTCAAACGCGTTTCTTCTTCATCAGTAGACATGGACATATTATTTAACGACGATATATTATTCAGAGATAAATATAGACAAATAAATAAATGGATAAATTGTAAGGAATGACAAATAAGTTATTATTTGAATTTCAAATTTTGAATTAACTAATGACAGACGTAAACAATTAACCAGTGCTGCCATCTCTTTGGAACTAAGTCAAACCTAAATATTGTAAAGAAGATAATATCTTCTTTACAATATTATATTTTGGTTATTTTTATTAACGCAAACTGTTTTAAATCCTATTGTATACTACCGATTAATATTTTCTACCGGGCCTTTCTGAAAAAACTAGATTTGGTAGGAATACAAGTGAGTTATAAAATAAACATAGAGATGTCGCCCCCAGTGCTCATTCCATCATTAGAACATGTGCGGAATAATTATTCTGTAACACTTTATGGAATATACGTAATTCAAGATTAAAAAGTCATATAAGAACTGTCAAATTCCGTAATAAGCGTAGAAAAAAAATATTTTTAGTTACCATATGAACAAGTTTTTCAAAATATATTTATTTTTTACCCATTACTGTTTAGAATGTTTTTTTGACGTTAACTTAAAATATTCTTCAAAGGAGATGGCCGCTTTTGAAATTAGACGATTCATTTCATTCTGTAACACTTTACGGAATATATGTCATTCCATAGATAAAATTGATAATAGAACGGTCAAATTCCGTAATAGGAGTAGAAAAAAGTATTTTTCGCTAGGGATTTTATAATTGATTAAATGATTAAAATAAACAAGTTGGAATTAGATTTAAACACCATGGATGTCAATAAAGAAGACTACAAACTTTCTTCTGCTGCAGATAACTCGGCTTTGGCGGGGAACGATTATTTTCTTTTCTGTTTGCTGCTACTTTTTTTATCTTATTTAAATAATTGACTTTTGTAAAATTTCACCTTTAATAAAAAAAAGTGTGGTAATATTTTATGCTTGTACTTTTTGGGGTTTAATAAAAGCATAAATAGATTTTAACATTTATTTAAAAGGTAGACATTAAAAAAAAAGTTTTTTAGTAGGTACCGGAGAATATTTGGGCATACTTATATGTATTTAGTACATTTAAATATTTTACATATTTATATAATTTAAATGTATTATACAGAAAATGTTAATGTAAAGGCAAATACTTATATTACAATATCAAGTTTTATAAAATTTAAGAAATTTTGTATTCCAATTCTTCATTTATCTTCTCCGTACCAATGCCTTCTCCCATAAAGCTTAATATTACAGATAATTCTTAAAGTCAAAAAGTACAAAATCTCCACTAAGGATAATGCAGAAAATCCAGTAAAAAGTCCAAGCAAACCTCCAAAATTAGCCAAAAAGTCTGTAACACCATACAGCTCATTCCTATCTGATGTTATGAATTGGTTTGATTTAAAGAAAACTTGCAAATAAGACATGTGAGTCCTAAAACAAGAAAATAATTATTATTATTATTTATAATAAAAAATTTTAAAAACAATTCTGTCTAAAATTTAAGAGATAATTTTGTGGACATTCGACATAAACTATATTTATATTAAGGAAAATGTTAAGTATTCAATTATGTTATTTAGGTTTATCTAATGGGCATAAAATTGTCTATAAACTAAGATTATTACGTTGATTTGTTGTAACTAGGAGAATTCCTATCCATTTGGTATTTTCTTTCCCAGTCCCAGTCCGATTGAGAATTTTCCACAATGTATGACATAAAAGTACATTCAGGCATACAATCACAGACCAAGGTTTGTTTATAGGCTCTTGTAGGTTCATATTTAAGACCCATTTTTTCACTTAGTTGAGCATTAATGCCTGCTTCCAAACGATCGTCTAATAAATATGTTTATTTAATATTTATTTGTATTATTTTTAAGTTATACTATACCATCCGCTTTTTTAACACACCCTTTCATAGGTGTTCCACATATGGGCGTATTAGCTTCACCTAAAACACATTATTAGCAAAAGTTAATTAGTCTTTACAGAAACAATAGAAAATACTAATAATTTTTGGGTTGATTTATTTATATTTTTCCCGTTGAATCAATACCCTACCGCCCATTGTTTCTAAAAAATTTCAAAGCCCTCAAAATAGGCATCTATTTTAGAAGTTCATACACATTAACTCATTGATCACTCATAGACCAGGGTCGATAATTTTTGAAACCAAAAAAAATAACAGTAGGATGAAACCCATTGGAAAAGGAGAAGAATGTAATAAAAATGAAAGGAAAAATAAATTACGGGCGATCTGACTTCGGGAAGTGGGAGGGGGGGTTTTAAGGGTAAAAAATGGTTTATCTCGATTTCCGGCAAAAGTACAAGTCCTATGGAAAAATGTTAAATGGCAAAGTTGTAGGTAATAAAAGGATCTACAACTTTTGTAATTACTATTTTTTTACATAACCTCAAAATTTATGTGAAAAATTCAAAAAACCAAGTTTGGTGAAAACTTACCTTTTTATGTCCCAAATACACTGTAATTTATTTGATTTGAAATATTTATTATTTCGCCTTATTTTGACTTAATATCAAAAAAGCACCCTAATTTTCAATCAAAAATTCTCGCGTCAAAATATCAGTTTTTTTTCAAAAAGTCGGTGTGCTTTTTGTTTGTTGAAATCTCTACTTTCTGATGGTGTAAAAAAAATATATATTACTATGGTAAATGTTCTCAGAAAATGCAAAAAATATTATAATGAATAACGAAAAAAACTCGAATTCGAAAATTTATTTTAATCATTATGTACAATTTCATCAAAAAAATGTGATTGTTGCAATTTTTTTAGCTAAAAAATTTATTTATTAAATTCTAATAACATTTATGTCAGAAAATCTCATAAAATATAAAAATACATGTAAATCATACTATAGAATTTAGATACTTCATTCTGATTACGTTATTCATTATAATATTTTTTGTATTTTCTGAGAACATTTACCATAGTAATGTATATATTTTTTTACACAATCAGAAAGTACAGAGTTCATCGAACAAAAAGCACACCGACTTTTTGAAAAAAGCTGATATTTTTACGCGAGAATTTTCGATTGAAAATTAGGGTGCTTTTTTGATATTAAGTCAAAATAAGGCGAAATAATAAATATTTCAAATCAAATAAATTACAGACTATATCTCAAAAACTGTTCTACTTTTTTAAATTTTGACGGTATTTTCTGATTCAGGGGAAAATTTTACATAAGAATTGGCTGTTAAATTTTGGGATACCATGGTATTTCATGGTTAACCATGGCACAAGTGAAAAGCAGCCACTATTAACTATTAAATTAGTTACTTTTGACTAATTCATTTTTAGAGAGTAGTGGATTTCATTACTGATGTAGGGGTTGCATATTTAGAATTTACGCAAGTAGTAGTAGTTTCAGTGACAGTGACAAGATGGCGTGTGTCACCTTTTAGCATTTTCAGGGCTAAAATGGTCGATTTGCACCATAACCGAAAGATGCGTGGTTCAAACCACAAGCAGGTACAAACATTTTTTATTTTGCTTAAGACCTCCCGTACATTGTCGTTTACTCGGAGATGTTCTAAAAAGGTTCTTATCTTTAAAAAAAAGTCCTTGCACAGGACCATTTAAACCCGGAAAATCCTTAAAGGTGACACACGACATCAAAGTGTTACTGAAACCCGCATTCTATACACAATGCATTTTTTTGTATTATTTACTGACTTTATGTTTAAATAAATTTGATTTGATTTGCACCATACTGCTATTCTAGAGGACCGCATTTATTTTCCTTTACACAACAGAAGATTTCTTCAGACCGAAGGTCACATAAGATATACTGAAAAGGTTATATTTTATAAAAAGTTCGTGCACAGGATCATTTCAGCCCTGAAAGGTAATACACGCCAACGAAGTGTCTCTATAAGAGGCATATAGCGCAGTTACTAAGTTATCCGACCTTTGGGCTACTGCGTACGTCCCTTGGTATCTTATGGCTTACCTCCGCGGCTTGGGACTAGTTGCAAAAACAATTGGTTTGCAATGCTAAGCCATCTTAACTGAATGTATGTATTTTCTTAAACTTTCATATAAAGCTTGCGTTACGTGGCTTAGTGTCTTGTATCCAATCTAACTATAAGCTTACTAGTATTATGTTCTCTATATTATAGAGACCATAACACTAGTTATATTGAACTGGAATAACATAGCATTTATACACTCACAGGCAAAATAATCGATCCACACAAATTTTCGATGAATTTCAATCGCAAATAACTTTCTTATTTGATTTCGGATTTAAACAAATATTAAATAATATTGTAGATACATTAATGGAGAATCGCTCACATTTTAAAAATTACTAAAAAATACACGTACGATTATAATATACAGGTTTAAACAAAAAGATATTTTTTACCATAAGTTTAAGACACTCTGTAGAGTGGCAAAACCGTATATTGTTCTAAATTAAGTTTTAATTATCAAGTCACATCTATTTTTAACAGTTTGGTTTTTGGTTCACCTTGATATATTTATTTTTGTGGAAAATATGATTTTTTTTTTTAAACTTTTCAATTTTCAATATTTTTCCTGTATGAAGAACTAAGGTTGTTATGCCATAAATTTACAAAAAACAATTTGATAGCTTTTGAAAGCTCTATATGACATGTCCAAGTATGGGATGATTCAACAAAACTGTCACTGTCATCCTCCGTAGGCTATGGATGGACCATAACAGTTATGGTCCATCCATAGCCTACGGAGGATGACAGTGACAGTTTTGTTGAATCATACCATTCTTGGACATGTCATATAGAGCTTTCAAAAGCTATCAAATTGTTTTTTGTAAATTAATGTGTTAATTTTGAGCTGTCTTCTTACTTTTACAAATGTCTCCGACTGATGTTGCCCTTTGTACTTTACTTCTTGTGACGTTTAAAACACTTGCCACGTAATACTGTGACCGTCCATCCTGGATTAAATTAATGTCTCTGGCAACATCAGTCGGGGACATATCCTTTGTTTAAAGTGAGAAGACACCTCAAAATTTAAACATTAATTTGCAAAAAACAATTTGATAGCTTTTGAAAGCCGTGTATGACATGTCCAAGTATGGGATGATTCAACAAAACTGTCACTGTCATTCTCCATAGCATATGGATGGCAACCTTAGTTCTTCATACAGAAAAATATTGGAAAGTGCAATGTTTTTTTAAAAAATCCATATTTTCCACAAAAATAAATATATCGAGGTGAACCAAAAACAAAACTATTAAGTATAGATGTGACTTGATAAATAAAACTTAATTTAGAACAATATACGGTTTTGCCACTCTATAGAGTGTCTTAACCTTATGGTAAAAAACATCTTTTTGTTTAAACCTGTATATTATAAACGTACGTCTATTTTTTAGTAATTTTTTAAAATGTGAGCGATTGTCCATTAATTTATCTGCAATATTCTTTAATATTCGTTTAAATCCGACAACAAATAAAAAAGTTATTTGCGATTGAAATTCATCGAAAATTTTTGTGGATCGATTATTTTGCCTGTGAGTGTAAATGCTGAAAACAATCTAAATAGTTTTTATCTATTTAACACGAGGATGGCCTTAGTCGCTTAGTCTGAGGCAATAAAGTGTGATTATTTTGTCCGTAGGAAATGCCAGTTGTCACTCTCTTGGCTACTGAGAAGTTGCGAGCCGATTGTGGTTTCTGGAATGAGGCTAGAGGCGAGACGTGACTTCACGCTACTGAGTTTTAAGAAATAATGTATATAATGTATAGCAAAAATCGTTTTTTTTAACGGTAAGTTTTTTTAGTGACTAATCCTTATAATATAAGATACACTGATTTACGTCCCAACCCTATTGAATGTACAATGTTTATTAAATTTGGTTGTACGGCTACGTTTTAACTAAATCACCCAAATGCAAACAGTTTTAAATGCTAATGCAGATAAGTCATCCTACTTAAGTTTTAATCCCTGCCCTTTTATCGTCTGAAAGTATAAAAAGAAAACAACGAGATAAATATGGCTAAAATTTGAAAAGCAGTCTACTGCTTTACAGATTCCACTCAGCAGGGACAAACTTGTTTTGCTACCCTTGTAAATTAAACTTACGTGGCATGTAAAAATCGACACATCCACACTCATGTAAAGTATAATTCGTTATACACTCAATCTGACAATTTTGCTGGGTGTAGGTCTTAAAATATTTCAACGTTCTCTCGCTAGAAAAATAGCATTTTCTTCTGGAAGGACTGTAGTTTTTCACTGCTTCTGAAGTAGTGATCATATTGGGCATCACTGCGGCTATAACAGATTGATCAAGTGGGATACGGAAATGTTGGTTTTTTGGACGTGGCAACATTGAAGGTTGATGAATTTGGATCTAAAACTGATTTTTTTTGGGCTTTAATAATAAATAAATATTATTTATACCTTGTATCCTTGAATAGATGTTCCACAAGTAAAATCTAAATTTTTATCTTCAACTTTAAACTTAAGTTCCAATGAAAATAAGGCTCCTGCATACAACGCTCTCTTTGGGTAGATATCTCTACCTTTAAGGCTTGTATACCCTTCATTTAAAGACCATGCAGCTTTTTGGTCTGACATTTTATGCAAATTTTTATAAACAGCTCTAAAATATAAAAACATACCTATTTATTACTTTTTTATTTAATTAAAATTAACTTACACATTATCATTTAACATATCAGATCTATCCAACAAGTTAAAAGCATAGCAGAGTCCTTCATCCACTACAATAGGTTTAAAAATGTCTGAACAATTGTAGTTTGAACCCATAAACATACAGTCACTTACGTCATCGTAAAAGTTTGGGGATACGTCTTGGTAAAAATCATAGATACTGTTGTCAAAATACTTTGGAACTGGGTATTTTAACTCTTTATGGAATGTGCATATTTCAGACATATAGGCAAATTGTAACTCTCTAAAAAAAATGTTTAATTATTTAAAACAAAAACCTCAAACACTAAAAACAGTTTTTGAAAATAATCATGAAACATTTTACTGTTGTCAAAATACTTTGGAACTGGGTATTTTAACTCTTTATGGAATGTGCATATTTCAGACATATAGACAAATTGTAACTGTCTAAAAAAAAATGTTTAATTATTTAAAACAAAAACCTCAAACACTAAAAACAGTTTTTGAAGATAATCATGAAACATTTTGCTTAAAATGATACAAACATTATAAAATAATAACATTGTTTTGATATTGATGCTTTAAATGGTTCTAGATGTAAAAAGTATATATATATATTTATAATATATCCAATACAAATAAAATTGTCTTTTTCGAGGTCTATACTAGGGTGTCCGTTATTTCTTAAGGCTTTCACTTGGGTTTAATCTAAATTATTTATTTACAGTCTTAAAACAATTTTGGAAAAAATAATTTATAGTTTTAAACGTTATATAATTTAAACTTTATTATTCTCAACCCGCACTACTAAATTTTAATCACTTAAATGCCTAGTCCTAGGCTGTAAAAGTAATTTAGACCAATCGGGTAAAGTTGTTTTACCTTCTGGTCTGTAAAAATCCTGTTTGGACCAATTAAAAAATTCGACCACTTTCATTTCTATCCAACCTAACTTTTTACTTTTAATAATTATTGCGACAGGTTGTTTAATGAAAAAATATAAAATGACTTCCTTCCTTGTAATATAAAACACCCAGCACAAAAATTCGTTGTTCAGTGCCAAATTTACAAAATCTACAATAAATTAATTGATTTACGAATGATTTCCACGATGGATCTGACGTCGCTTAATGATTGGTGTACCACTAAATCTGGTAAAGAAAAGCTTTCAGTGACGTCAGAAGTCCGATGTCCCCAGTACATATTTATATTTGAATTCCTTATGCAAGCAGGTATACTTGTGTCACACGAATGGCTGAAAAGATTTGAATGTTCGATTTGGAGATTTGAATGTTTAAATGTTGGAATCGTGGAGCCTAGACACTGTCTAGTAGACAGGCTTCATGGTTGGAATGTTTACCTACCTAAATATTAACAATAAATACATTTTATTTATATTAATATTTGAATGTCTAAGTCTTAAAACGTTAAAGCTGGTTGCAGAGTTCCTGATAAGTGCGACTGTGTTTAAACCAATCAAATTTAATGGAGCCCGACCCAAAAACAAACGTCACTGGAAGCTTGTCTTTGCCAGACTATAATAAACGAGACCTCAACTTGAACAAGTGTTAATTAATGAACTAAGCTCGTAAAACTACTATGATTAATTTCAATTATGCCATAAATAATACTCACTTAATTGGTAATAAAGAGTGTAAAGATTTGGCAGTACATTTTGACCCAAAATTAACTTTTGTAAAGCATATTGAAACTATTCAACTAGATTTCAACTCGATCTTTGCTTGGCCTCCTACACTGTTTAAAATATCTGTGGTGTAAAAAGTAATCTTGAAATGGTGTCAAAATCCAACACCAAGTGGTGTTAATATAACACCATGAATTATGGTTGAAAATGTGTACCGATCGCGGCAAAGGCGGTGTGGATCACGTGATGTTCTTAAATCTCGCCTCTGTTGACTTACATGAAGAATATATAAACTCAGGTAATCATTTGCTTTGGTGTGACACTACAAGTTGTTCGATACTAACCTTAAATAGGTGGAAACAGCTGTCAATACTTGAAGTATTTTAAGTTAGTGTCACGCACTAAAAACATTATCTCTAGCGAGTTGAAGGTTCCATTTTCTGGAATAATACCACTGGTAATATACTAGTAATGCGCCAAGGAACTTCCTGTTTCCTTTTTTTTCCTTTTTTCTGTGTAGTATGATTTAATTTGTCCACAAACACATAATATTTAACACTGAAAAGGAGTTTAATTTACACGAAGTAAAATTTATTTTAATACTGTTTGAAAGTTAAATTAACACCATTTTAGTATTTGAATTTACACCGGACCAACGAACCTTATTTAACACCATTTTGGTTTGTATCGATATAGACCATGTTTGGTGTCAATTTGGTGTTAAAATGGTCATGAAATTTTGAACAGTGTAAGACTCACTTGACATAATCTTTGTTAAAAGTACATAAACGAAAAGGTGCACAATGCCAAATTCCAACCCAACCTAAAGTGTCGTCTGAGATGACCTTAATTTGGATTCATCCACAGAAATCTTTATTTATTCTTTATCGCGTGCCTCCTGCTTTATTAGCGACACCGAAACTTAAGTGAAAAATGGTACGAATTAAATTGTGTATTATTTTAAAAAGAATTTTAAGTGAAAACGAGTACTCGAGTATCGAGTAAAAATTACTAACCCACCCTAGCCAGGCGCGGCTAAATATTAATTTGGGTAAACAAGCTTTTGGAAATTTTTTAACGCCTACCCAATATTCATTTTTAATAAAAAATAAATTGGCCCACCCTAACAAAACCAAACTTAAATCATAACCGAATAAGTATATTTTATTTAACCTATAAACAGTTCTTAATAGTAAATAAATAAATAAGAAATATGTGTACATACAGCCATTTTCCATATTGGTTGGAATAAAACTATAAAATGGAGTTTGAACAATGAAAAAGTAAGAAGTTTGGAATATGGAATTTTTTGTACGTTTACAAAAAATAATTTAATTGGAAGAAAGTGAGGTTGGATCGGTCTAAAAGTTGTTAGATAATAAACACTGTCATACGGTGATAGAATAATTTATTCTGTAACACTTTAAACAAATATTAGAAATATTCACCAAAATGTTTCTAATATTTGTTTAACATATCACCAAAGTTGTCCCTTTTTAAGTATCTGTAACACTTTAAGGAGTATATGTAATTCCTTATTAAAAAGTGATATTTTCTTCGTTTTTTTTCAATTATTTTTCTTTATTCATTTATCCATACTTCATCATCTTCCCAGTAACATTTTTTTACAATATACTTCCATTCATTCATACACTTATCTATGTTTATATGGAAAACGAACTGGCCAAAAAGTGTTAAAGTAAGCTAAAGGCCATTACCCCTGAACACAGTGCAGATTGATGAAGATTATAATTGTAAGTGTTATGTATCGTTTAACAAATAAAATTTTGCCATTCGACTAAAAAGAGTATTTTTGTGCTTCGCTCAAGTGTAGGCCTCCGCTAAGCGTCGGCCTTAAAAATTTGAGGTCAGCACAAAAATACTTATTTCTCAGCCTTATGACATAAATAACTATTATTTATCACCCGCAAGAAATATATAATTTTGTGGCCTCACTGAGAGGATGCGAAATTATGAATTCCCTAATTATTTATTTTTAAACTTGGCCCGTGGCCGAAAAGTGGGCGAAACAACATTTCCCTCACGAGCTGAAGTAAGCTTTAAGTTAAAGTTGAAAAAAGTATGGTGCTTGGCAGCTGTCAGATGTCAGATAAAACATCAAATAAAATTGGCTTTAAATGCATTGCGGTAGTTGAATAAAATATTGTGTGCGACTATTGGTCAAAAGAGGAGATTCCACCCGCATATTACCGCATTTACACTTCACACTAGAGGATTCTCTCTTTCTCCCAATGGTCGCATAATTTCAAAAATTGTTGCCAAATAATTTTAGATGATATCCAAGTAGACAAAGCCAATGATAATTTTTTTATTGACTTCAAACTTTAACCGACGGTGGACTCGAACCCACGACCTCTCGGCTTGTAGTCAGTAGCACTGACCACAAGCCGAGAGGTCGTGGGTTCGAGTCCCAAATTGGTATGGTTGTTTGTGTTTGTCACATTGTGTATAAGTCCTTTGAAGGGGACTTTAAACTCACACAAGCCATTTAGTTGGCTTTTGGGACTTCTAAGGAAGTAAGGTTGGAACTAAAAAAGCACTTTTGTATATACCTACGATACCATTTAAATGGATGGTCTTACGAAAAAACGTAAAAGAGCTTTTTTGTAAAGGTTCCACGCTCAAGATCACTAGTCCCATAATATACTATTTCAAACTTTGAACTTTTTGTAAAGCGTATTTTTTTTACAAAAATATGTCTTGTATATTGTGGCACGTCTATTTATTATCAAGTAATGTCATTTGGGCAGGGATAAACGTCATCGGATTTTTTTTAAATCACATTACACATTTTTTGTCTAAATTGCCACTCTTTTCAATGGTAAACAGGAGTGTTGGCTTACTTAAAGTTTGGCTCTGAAGTACAGATATCTTGCTTCTTATAAAGTATAAACTATATAAAACTTACGTTTGGTTATCTAATTTAACACCGTCTTGCTTCTTATAAAGTATGTCAGTGTAATTAAAAATAGTAGTTCTGGATTTAACCTCTGGACATATAGTAACAGTTGGAAAAGGTATGTCAAAAATGGGCGTTTCCTTAGTGGCAAAACTCACTATAACTGGTGATGTTTCCCATTTCTTATAGGTCAGTAAAATAAGTGTTATACAGCCATATAAAGCTACTATGAGAGCTATTAACCACCATATTCTAAAATATAAAAAAGGGGTTGTGTTATCAATTGATGTTTAATTTTGTATATACTTCTCAAATAAAGTTCGTTGCTCAGTCAAATAGACTACACCGTGTATACCAGTAAAGCTACTGTATTCTCTAAAATAACTGTCTATTTTTTTTCTTAAGGGTTTTTCAGTTTTATTATTCATTTCAGAACTTGTTATTTTAGCGACTGGTTAATGTATTCAAATAATTAGTTAGGGGAGTTAAAATTGTTCGTGCTGTTTAAAAATGCTAATTAAAACACCGATAAACATATTGCAGTATATCATTTTTTAATTTAATTAAGTGGGATATAGAATTTAAAAAAAAACATTATAAAGTAAAGGAATATTTTAAACTACACTCACCGGCAAAAACACAGCCATACAATTTTTTTTTACTAACGATCTCATATAATCTGTGGTAACGATGCTATGGTAATCATTTTTATTTAGATTATTTCCCTCATTATAATATGAACCAATCAAAAGCCTAGAAATTTCGTTTAAATAAGCGATTAAATCACTAGAACTATTTAACAGCGATTAAATTTTAGCCTACATATTGGATTTTTGTTTACGATTTTATGGTGTTATTTAGAAGTTTTAACAAACATTTTTTAAAAAACAATAAAAAATAAGTTATCCAGTTTACGAAATATCAATTATTACTTATTATATACCTTAAATTAATGGAATTTTCTTTAAAAAAATATTTATAAATTTTGACACATACGTCAGATTTTATGAATTGTCAAATAGTTTCCTTTAATTCGAGAAATAATTTAGACGTATATCACTCAACCTACAAATTTAATCTGTCAAACTATGCTCAGTAAGTTTTTTATTTGATTTTTCTTTTTGGAAAATAGTTTCATGCAAAATAATTAAAAATAAAACCCCTCGACCGCTACGCGGTCTCGTGATTTTATTAAATTATTTTGCATTCAACATTTTCCAACAAAACCCAAACAAAAAAAAGGATTATACATATAGAGGATGCAAAAGTAAGAGGCATTTTTTCCCTGAAATTTGTGATACCCTGTAGAGTGCATTAGCAACAACCGCGGATGTCTGAAAATTTTATTTTTTAAAGCAATCGCGTCGGATAGTCTTCGCAAAAAATAAATGAAAAATGTTTAAGCTTAAATTAAAATCACAATAAAAATGTTTACCTTGGCATCGTTACTAAAGAGTCAACCCACAGTTACTTACATTTAACAATCTAAACTGACAAAACGATATTTTTTTTAACTCTATCTACTTTAATAAATAAAATTTATCATATCTTTCAAATTAAAATGTGACACTATATAGTAGGTACTCACTTCTCAATTGCCGTTCTTCTTTCTGCTAAATACTTAAGCCCATGAATATTTCCTTCTTGCAAATAGGTTGTTAAATATTTTCTACCGTTTCTTAAACAACCATTAGATTTGTTATCCTTTTCGTCTGTTTTTAAATCCTGACTGGCTGCATTTTTTAGCTCTATCTCATCGGAAGAATATCTAAATACAAATTTACAAAAATATATTTCTTCTTATTTTTAATTGAGTATTTATTAAATTAAAGAGTACTTGCCGATTAAACATTGTATCAACTTATCTAAATTTAAAAACTAATAACTTGTTTTAGTTATTTTGGAACACTATAAATAAAAGGTCATAATTTGACCTTTTAACAAAAATTGCTTTAAGGAAGGTAGGTAATACGTTGATATTTAAAAAAAATTACTTGAAATACCAATTTTTAAAAACTAGTTTTTATACCCACCATATTTTAAAGGTTTTCAACTGAAATTAGGGGATACAGTGAAGTGGGTTAAAATTACGAAATACATCAGGAAGTATTGTACTGATAGTATAACGTTATGAAAAGTTGCAAGGTAACGCTAAAAGGCCTAAACAAAATAAAACAAAATTTAATCCCTTGACCCACATATTCGTTTTACCGTACCACAAATGTAAATACCATAAATCACACATTTGCTATATTTATAAAAGCAATACTCGTTTATACCTGGCCAGCTACAAATGATTTACAAATAAACCGTTTATTAGTAAAGTTAAAAACTGGTTGGGTTTTTAATATAATACATCAAATGCATAGAACTCAATTTATACCAAGTGATACCAAGAAAAAGATGGGTTTGACCTTTGGTCCTGAAATATGTATTTTAACCAGCTCAATCCACGATGATGTGTTGACGGTAGCCGCTTAATTCTGCCAGAGGGTTTTGGTACCAATGATTCGAAATTGGGATACACACACACAAAAAAAGAAATAATCATACCTTCGTTGAAGGGTATTTTTTTATTGGTTAACGGGGTTTCTTAAATTAAACTTCAATTATTGAGAAACGTAACCCTACAAATAAAAATAAATAAATGTTAAGGACAATATAGAAGAAACGAAACCATTTACTGCAAAGTAATGGATGGATAATAAATATAGTAACCATGGATGGTGGATGGCCACGTGAAGGATTACTTTCTGCCAATCTTCCAAAATCCAGCTAATGCTGTAGGAATCGAATACAAAATACAAAATACAAAACTAAAGAACTCCAAAAACTCTTTTCCTTTTGGACAATATCGTTGGCACTTAAATCCCTTTTAACTAAGGTTTACCAAAAACTCCGATACACAGTGTGCACAACGACAAAGATCAATCAAAAATTAAATCCCTTTTTCTAGAAGACTTCCTTAACTTATTTGGTCATGCGCGAAAACAACCCTATAGAAATCGAAACCTTAAATAGGAATGACGTAACAAGAAAAAAACACGATGAAAATATAATACACCCCGTTCAGAGTAAGGGAAACGTATAGGGCGTGGCCTCGGTTATTCGGTTTTACTCTGAACGGGCTGTATATATAATAAGGATATTATATTAAATGAAATAAAAAGCATAGGAATGTTGGCACAAGAGGTGAAATATATTATTTTACAAATTATAATATACCAGTATACAGTGTGTACCCTTATCGGATTTCCAATAGAAAAAACTTTTTTAGACCTGATACTATGAGGCGCCGTTTGTGCCATAATTATGTTGCTAATATATATTTAATTTTGTTTGATTATATATATTTTTTAAATTTATTTTTAAATTTACTTAATATATTTATTATTTTACTTAAAATATATTTATTTTTTAAGAACAATATATTTATTTTTGTGTGTTAATATTAATAATATTATAATAATATTATGTTTTTTTGACATCTGCTAATATATATTTGTTTTTTTGACAGACAATTCAATGTGGCAACGTTGCATTGTCATTTAACCCGTTGTTCATAGGTGTCGTTGTTGTATTAAGTTTATTAATACTTTACCGGCAATATTTTTTGAATTTTTGAGTTTCCATTAATTGGTAAATTTTTTGGGGTTATTTAAAACAGGTAAATACCCAATAATTTTTTCTGGAATATTTTTTGTAAAAGCGAAATTTTAGTAATAATGGAAAGAAGTAGTCCAGAGTTGCGTAGCACACTTGTTTTGCCACCGAAAATTCACCGAATTTTTCTTTCGTTTTTAAATAAAAACAATCGCTGATAGAATCTAACCGCAAACATTCAAAAAATATTGCCGGTAAAGTATCAGTAAACTTAAAACAACAACGACATCTATGAACAACGGGTTAAATGACAATGCAACGTTGCCACATTGAATTGTCTGTCAAAAAAACAAATATATATTAGCAGATGTCAAAAAAACATAATATTATTATAATATTATTAATATTAACACAAAAAAATAAATATATTGTTCTTAAAAAATAAATATATTTTAAGTAAAAAAATAAATATATTAAGTAAATTTAAAAATATATTAAAAAAATATATATATTCAAACAAAAATAAATATATATTAGCAACATAATTATGGCACAAACGGCGCCTCATATGATACAGCTAAACCGAGCACATATTTGAAATCTACGACCAAAAATTATGTGTACGTGTCCGAGCGTTTAGCTGTGCTATTTTAAGAGTTAAAAAGTACAATCTTTACTGCAATACACTTAAATTATTTGTTACTGTCTATATAATATAATATAATATAATATAATATAATATAATATAATATAATATAATATAATATAATATAATATAATATAATATAATATAATATAATATAATATAATATAATATACAGTTTTAGTATTGTATGTCCTTGTGTTGTCCTATTGTGTAATAGTCCTTCGGAGGGGACTTTAAGCCCGCGGTCCGTTCCTACCCCTAACCCGCACAAGCCATTCAGTTGGCTTATGGGACTTCTTAAGAAGTAAGGGTGGAACTAAAAGAGCACTTTTGTATATAAACTTTTGTATGTATATAATTTTTCTTACATCTTGAGTTGCGATTGGTTGCAACCCTTTTTATTTTTTAACGTTTGTATGGGTGTGTCAAAAATATTGATAAATATTAATAAAATAATTTTACTATTGCTTATATATTTTAAAAATATGTACTTACCTACATGCAAAACCAGTTTTTAAAAGTTTTCTATAAAAATGTTTTAATTTTATTATAATTAGGATTTGACATAATAATTATGTTTGGAATACCTCCTGGAAATAATAAAATGATAATAAAACATTTGTTTTACACGCACATTATCTGAATTAATTTTTGCTTTCAATTCGGAGACATATAAATTTAGTAAAAGTTCCCTGAGGTCATGAAATAATTTATTGTGATATGTATATACAGTATATTAAATATTTGCCTAGAACCACACTTTTACGCAGAGTTTCATAACTTCTATTAATTAAAAACCTTAAATTCTACCATGATAAATTTTTTGGTATTTAGACAGAAGAACTCTGGCCAGGAAATATCTCAATTACGGTACTGTAATTTCCCTTACCCTAGGTCACAGTACTAAGATCAAGATAAGGACAGTAGCGTGCCGTATAGGGGGCCAGGGGGGGCGATCGCCCCCCCCGCCCCTCTGCCCAGAGCGCCCTTTCCAACGATCTTTCCAAGTAATTATTTACTATACAAATTATAGGCAGGCTATTTATTTTTTTCTTCCATCAGTAGCACCACTGTCGCTGGTCCACCTGCCGTCTGTTATTAAAAATCAGTGCTACCCTGTTGTAAAAAATCAGACATTAATAGATAGCAGATGTATCTAATAGATGGCAATACTGCTGACTTTCATCCACATACTTCCTGGTGACTTTCATTCACGCGCATGTTCAAAACCAACTAATTAAATAAATTTATAATTTTATTATTAAAAACAAAATATTGTTCAATTAAATATTACATAACATATTTAATTTTTTTCAATTTAAATTTCTAAAAAATAATAATAAGGTAATATTTGTTTATTTCGTTGTTTAAAAGACGGCATTATAAATGTCTGTGAAATTATGCAAACAAAATATTAAAAAAACTTCTTTTTAAATTAATAAATATACTTATGGATTATTAAGATTTTTCTTTGAAGTTTATAAATGCCTAAACAACCTAGGGAACCGTTTTTAGGAAAAAATACTGTATATGTACTGTCGCTATTTTACATATTACTGTATTACCGACAAAGTATAAGTTTCCTATTTTATCAACTGAAAAAGTAAGTAAAGCTGTTTTGAAATATTTACGTTGTTAATTAGTAATTGTTGTGACAAAATGAATAAAAAAAGCTCAATTTCAAAAAAGTCTGGATATGCATATAGAAAAGACAAAGAAGTAAAACTTCGTTTGGCTGCCGGGGCCTCGCAAAAATGCAAGATAAATAATTTTTTTCAACAGAAAGATTCATCGTAAGTTAAACATTGTATTTTATTTACTTGCTTTTAAATGAAAACTTATTATAAGTTAAAATCAGTGATGAATAATATTATTCAACCGTGGTTAAAATCATCCCTATTAAACACGTCACTAATAATAATTATTGTCAGTTCGTTTACTATTATACCTGATTTTAAGTCCCTATTTTTTATTAAATAAAAAAATTGCCGCCCTTAAGATAGCTCGCCCCTCCCGCCCTTAGACCCACGGCACGCTACTGGATAAGGACCAGTGTTGTGACCTAGGTACCTAGATATCTTGCCAATTATTTTCTATGAATTATGTATTATAATGGCGATACAGCTGGATTAGTGTTGTTACCTGGGATCATATTAATGGGAAATTATGGTAACTTTTTAAGGAATTTTTGAAAGATGATTGATATTTTGAGATTTAACAAATATTAGAGCACAAAAATAAACAATATACATTATTTCTTCACAAATTTGGTACAAGTGCTTTTTTAAATTAAATTAAAGAATTTTAATTTTGACATAAAAGATTCCAGATCATTTGTTAATTTCACCCTATATAATGCAATAACTTAATTCCTTAGCGTATTTGTTTCAACCATCAACCTAATTAAACCGGAATATTCTTCCATTCGGACCTATTAGCCTGATTGAACACACAAATATTTGTTCAGTTTATGAAACACATTCACGCAATGGACGAAAAAAGTGTAGAAAATTTAGAGGAAGAAGTTCCGGAAAGTTTGAAAAATTCGTTCTTTAAAAGCATTAGGAATTATTTTAGGGAATATTGTGTTTGCTCCAGCATCCATGGGTTCAGATATTTTGGGGAAAAAAGGACATACTTTGAGAGGTAAGAAAATTACATCCTTCAATTTTTGATATCATTTAGGTACCTAGGTATAATATAACTTATTAAATCAAATTGTTAAGTAAAATTAAATCTTATCTTTCTCGGCCCATGGGCAATGAAAATATATGTTTAAGAAAATTTTGCAATGTCAAAAAAGAAATTTTTTTTAATTGATTTAGGTAGGTAATCATTGTACTTAAAAAATTTTTTTGGAAAAAAGTGTGTAAGATAATCATTATTACCAATATTCTCCCATAGTAAGAACATTATTATTAATATCAGAGTTACTTTTCGATAACATTTTTCAGCATTAAATAACATATTAACATCTATTTAAAACCAGTTAATATTTTAAATAATTTATAACAAATTGTCATGTGCTTAACGGCCATGCACTCACATGTAAACAAAAGTGCGCGAAATAATTTCTTCGCATGTTTCAATACAGTATCGTTGCGACACAATCGTATACCGGGACCAAAAAGTATTATTAAATTAAATTTAATTAAAAATTCGAATTTTTAAATAAACGTCGATGCCTGGGGTATTCTTTTAATTCCTAACAACTTATCTTATTAACTTTTTGCTTCTTACGCGAATATTAACATTTTAAAAAAGTTAAGATTTGGGACTTGGATTTTTAAAATAAAAGTCTGTAGGTATCTGGAGTATTATTTTAGTTTCAAACAACTTTTATAATAATTTTTTTTTTGTAACTCTAACCACAAGCAAAATATTGATTATGTGACGTATACGCTGATCAAAGTAATTAGCGTTTTTTGAGCTCAAGGACTTAAAGGACACAAAAGTACATATTTGGACGTATTGTTTTATTTTAAAAACCTTTTTGAAGTTAAATATCTTGAGAAATAGGCACTGTAGAGCAATATATTATAATAATAATAATAATAATAATAATAATAATAATAATAATAATAATAATGTATTGCCAGATATTTGGCCAGCGGCGTACAAATTAATTAATTTTTAACTTTAACACCCTGTATCTCGCTTAGCTGGCATTTTTGGACACGTTGCTTAAAATAACAGCATGGTATGTTTATAGGATATATACATATATATGTATATCTAAAATTTTTACTTGAAATGCTAAAAAATAACCTGCAGTTTTAAGTTATTTTTCTATATATTCTACATATGGGTGATTCTACAAAAGTTGGACAATTTGATGTCATCAGTCAATAGAGTAGGTATTTTAATATTTTTTGTAAATATTTTAGTATACCTATTACAAAAGATCCAGGTTTTTTAAACTTGTTTGCCCATTTTTAATGTATATTTTCAAAAGCACGTTTGTAGAAAAACATAATAAATATTCAAAACATCAGTACCTTGGCGTGTCACAACTCCTGAATTTGAGAGGTTTTATTTTAAAATATATTCAATTTATCTTAAATTTTTCAATTTCACTACAAATTATAAAACATTAAATAATGTATTTTTCATATTTTATCATGGACTCGTATAATTTTTAAAAAATTGATAATCTTTGTACTCACTTTTACCCGTCAGTTCTGTGTCCAATGTTAAAATTCAAAATTCCTGCGAAATATTGAAGTTTAAACGTCAAGTCCTCGTTTTAACTCAAGTGTTGGTAAAAAATTACCAACAGAGCCCGCCCTTTGCACGACAGTCATCTTGAAAACAATGCAAGCGGAGAAGTTGTGGTGAATGCACGTATAGTTCCAGTCAAAATTTCAGTACTTAGTAGTTATTTTCTTACGTATATATATAATATATATATATTTCATTGTTATTTATATAAGGCTATATGTGATTGGTTGATAAGTAGCATCCACAAATAAAACATATCAGTAAAATACTTAATTCCGAATTATAATCTCAAATTTGTATCCCATTCATCAGTACTGTGTCGTCAATTCCATGTTAAATGTTTTTTTTCGCAAACTTCAATTTAAATTCTGCTTGCGCAGAACTTGTTAATTTAATGTCATTATAAACTCATATAAATTTGGTGTGGGTTCCATATCTAATAATTGAGATATCGGTATACCCAAAATCCACCAGCCGCCACTGATGTGTGGTATTATTTGATTTTAAGATTTTTAATGTATAATATGCTCGAAGTTGCAATAAATCTTACCTATATTTTCCAATAAATTATGTATTTAATTAGTACCCCGGTATTATACTCGTCACTTCCCTTGCATTCTAATTTAGAAAACACAGATATTTCAGAAACTGTTTGAAAAAGTGACTGGCCTGGTTTGGAACATTATATTTATTATATTATCTATGTTCTCATAACAAATTACTGTTTAATTTTCTCCGAAAACTATATAAACAAAATGAGGTCAAAAGTTACCCAACTTTCATCCATATATTATATTCTGTATAAAATTTCACTTATACTGAAAAATCACCTACAAATATTTTTTTAATGAAATTTCGTACGGCCCTGTTTATATGTAAAAGTATTTTTGTTGTATAATTTGTATTATTTTAGGGGTTGGTGGTTTATTGTATTTAGTATCACTTTGGGAATCTGCATATTTTTTATAAGGGAAGTTTATCTAAAATGGGATAGAAGTCCGGTCATAGTCAGTTTTGCCACTACACAAACACCGATTTACCAAATACCCTTTCCGGCAGTGACGATTTGTCCTGAAACAAAATTGCAACAAAATCTCTTCAATTACACGGAAATTTTGCAGAAAATGGTGAAAGATCAGAATGACAATATTACCGAAAAAGAGTAGGATAATATTTTGTTTTAAAGGATAATACATTTTTTATTTTAGGTATAAATTATTTGAATACATGAGCATGGTTTGTAATACACCAGATCAATTTGGAAATGAAGAAATTTTGGATAAAGATTTCTTTGAAGTTCTTAGAAATGTAAGTACATGTATAATTAATTAATTTGTATTTAATTAGTAAATTGTAATATAATAAATTTGTCTTTATTTTTTATCATTAAAAATATTGAAACAAAAAAATACATGCACAAATTATATTATACAGGGCGAAACACTGAATACTTGGTCAATTAGTTATTATAACAATATATAACAATTTTACAAAAACTAATGTTGTTAAAATTCAAAAATATACATACAATACATATTTATATAATATATTATATAATACCTATATATTTTATATTAATATACATACCTACATATTTATAAAAAGTTAGGTTATTTTATTTTTGCTAATTTCAAATTCCTGTAAACGGACAAAATTGGACGAAAAAATTGAAACAAATTTGAACAAAAAGTAGTCTGGTCGAAAAAGGTTAAAAATTCCGTCGCCTGGAATTAAAATTAAATTAAAGTATTAATTATAACCAATGCTAAACATAATTATTATTAATTTGTATGTGAAAAGGCGTACATTTAAGTCTCCTTACTTTCTAGGGAAGAAATTTTTATTTTTTGTTTTAGGTAAATATTGTTTTTTCTGATATATTTATTTACTGCGAATATATGGGAATGCAATACAAATGTAAAAATATGTTCAATCCAATTATAACAGATGAAGGAATATGTTATAGTTTTAATATGCTGGATAAATCTGAGATATATAACCCCAAAGTGTAAGTATATTTACTAAATATACAAAATAAGACAACAAAATAAAAATAATTATTTCAACAACAATTTTTCATGCCAGAAAGATTTAAATGTTGCTAACCCCCAACAACATTTGAACGTTTCTGGCATGAGAAATTGTTTATTAAAAAATGTATATAATTTTCTAGAGTTCACCATAAATATTTAAACAATGTACCAAACAAAACACGTAGTGGCTGGTCAATGGAAGATGGATATGCAGACAATGTTGGTGTGGACACATATCCAAAAAGAGCACTTTTAGCTGGTACAAAAAATTCACTTCAGGTTACACTGATTTCAAGAAAGACGAACATCGACTATACTTGCAAATCATCTTTACAAGGATTTAGGGTAGCAAACTCTTATAAAGACCTTTAAATAAATATATAAATATATTTTTTTTACTTTTTAGGTAATGTTACACACTCCAACAAGGGTTCCTCTATTCAGCCAGCAATATTTTCGAGTGCCATTAAATCAGGAAGTCGTGGCGGCCATACAACCAAACATGATAACTACCTCGGATTCAGTAAAGATGTATAATCCACAACGTAGAAAGTGCTATTTTCCCTCTGAAAGAAAATTGAAATTCTTCCTGAAATACACTTCTTTGAACTGTAAACTTGAATGTTTGGCCAATTATACCTTAAACGAATGTGGATGTGTTGGATTTTATATGCCAAGTACAAAATAAAATAAAGAAGAAGGTGGTAATATGGATCCCCCTTTTATTTGTCAACATTTGAGGCGTTTCTCGGAAAAACATCATTAGTCCAATATCGTCGAAATTTAGATATTAGCACCAACTGTTTCCTAACCTAACTAATATACGTATACAAATAAGTGTTTCTCGTAAAAATGTTATAGGTTCCATAATAATTAAATATGAAATTTAGCTTGTTCTTCTAAAAACATCACAAGTCCACTCCGTTTCGTCTAAGAAAGTCACATGTGCATAACATGTCACGTTTTTGGACACTCTAGAAAAGCTTCTACCTCTTTTACATGACAACAGCAAGAGAAAATTTTATGATAACTTGATAAAAGACCAGAAGACCATAGCACCTGACAGTCCTGATAACACGGTCGACAACGATGATAACAGCAGTGGAAGCGAATACTGAGTGTGGCCATAATACAGTTTTTAGTTTTTTCAATTATTTTGTTGCTCAGAGTTAATATTTAGTTTGTAGTGTTTGTAGTAAGGAGAATTGTTCGTTTTTTTCTTCTAAAAATCTCACATGTTCATGTATTTTTTGTGTTTTTTTCATATTCGTTTGAAAAAAAAACATGAGGAATTCTGGACAAAGTATCTTACATTTTTTTACATGTAGTAAATAGGTCAATAAAGTACTTTGGTCAAAAATGGGAATGTCAGAGAGTTTTTTTCATTTTCCCAAATATGTTAATTTTGGACTAATGATGTTTTTCCGAGAAACGCGTCATTTGTATTTAAGGGATGCTGTTTTGAAAAAAGAACCCCCTGTACATTGAAAAGCAGTAACTTTTGAAAAAAGTCTAGTACCTCAAAAAATCAATTCTGTTATGTTTGATTACCGTAAGGTTTGGGATCGATTACTTTTAAAATTGGGCTATAATAAAAACCTTTGTTTCCTGGACTACCTTGCAGTTTTTTATTTCAGTTTTTAATTTTACTCTTATTTATTGGTAACCAATAACAAATTAAAACTATCCATAATAAACTTATTTCATATTACCACTCTTCTTCATCTATTTAAGTGGTTATTGTATTAAAAAACTTTTTAGGATTTAATGATACTCTTTTATGTGGTTCTGCAAGTAGAGAATGCATGAGGAGAGCAGAACGCAAACTTCAAATGGGCACTTTATACAACGATATAATTTTTTCGAAACAGAAAAATCGCACAAGAAAAACTAAAATAAACGGATACAAAAAACTAAAATTTTGCGATTGCATGCCAATTTGCACTGATTTTACCTACGACGTTGAAACTTCGCAAACCGATTGGCAATATATCAAAAACCTAAAAGTTTTATACGACGAAGAGCAATTAAACGAAGACGAGTATGTATTATATCTGATAAATTTAATGAAAATTCATAAAATGATAACACTTACTATTGTTTGTAATTCATTATAATTAATATTAATTTAAATAAATATCGGGAATGTGAATACAAATTTGTGGCATAAAAATTTTAATTGAAATAATTAGCAAGTAAAGTTTTTTTATATGTTAAATAATCACTAAGAATAAATTAATCCAATAATAACTTTTATCTACTACATTGGCGAGCTGTGACTTCATGGCGTTTTATTCACTGGCTGAAGTTAGCAATAGTGGCTTTTGGATATTTTAGTCACGGACTGAAGTTAGCTTTATTATAAATTAGAGAAAAGTGAGGTTAATTCCGTTGACATTTGACAGATGTCAAATGTTTAACAAATAAAATTGGATTTAAATTCTTCTTTGTGGTCGTCGTAGATGAAGTATAGTATGCAACTCGTTTTATAAACTTATCTAGACACTAGTTTTTATTAAACACTCGCTTGCAAGCTTCGCTCGTGCTTAACCTTCTACTGGTGGCGCACGGCCTAACAGGCCCAAGCGATCTTATTTAGCGGATCATTATGAAAATAATTAAGAGACAACTCTGAATTTTTCAGTACCTTCCTAACTTTTTGCGTAGAAAGGTGTAGTGCAATGTTTATTTACTTACAGTTCTAACTTAAAAAGTTATAACCTAAAACGGCCTGAAAGGCCGGGCGCCACCATTTATGTTATACGACTATTTTGTGGTATATTAATTATTTAGCATATTTTTATACTTTATTCTATCCAATATGGTCATATTTTATGGGCTAATGAATGTGGCTGGAATAAATGCCCAAGTAATACACACTGCTAATAATTCAAATTATTAATGCGAAAGCTCTTGAAGAACGGCGCTATGTCCTAGTAGAAGCATTTGAAACGCCGTTCTATGGAACAAAATTTACCAACTGAGGTACGTCAAAGGCGACAAGAAGTAGCTGGGACTTCTACTGATAATGTTGAACCTCAACTAATTCCCCCTGGGACCAGAAAAAGGTGTGCAGAATGTCGCATAGACAGAAGGACCACACACTTCATAGCCAAAAATTTCTATGTATGACCCATGCCAAAATTATGTGTCATAATTGTGTGGAAAAAAATCAAAACCACGTTTAATACGATATTTTGTTATTCAAGCTTATAAACCATTTGTTGTTTTTTTGGTAGAATACATTTTTTATTTAGTTTTTTGAGAAATAATATTATGTCACCTTATAATCCTGTCCCTATAAAATTAACCCCATATTTCAAACATATGAGGTTTTTTTGTTAAAAAAAATTAGTGACCTTGGTCACAATAGGATTAAGTAATAAATTAAAAGTAAAAAATTCACAAAGAAAAAATACTAGCATAAATATGATTTTTTTAAATTTACGGGCCTGACAGGCCGGGCGCCACCACCAATGTTAAATATAAGGCGCCACTACTACAAGGTTAATAAAACTCGTAACTAAAATGGCATTTATAAAACTTGATACATAAATTATGTAACATAATATACTATTAAACCAATAATAACTTTTGGCCTAATGCGGTTGGGTCATTTATGACAAAATGTGGCTTATACCTACACGGATAAAACTGATTTTTCGTATTTTCATAAAAGGTATTTTTTTTAGTACCTACTGTTAAATAGCAAAATTTAAGATGTTTCAAATGAAGCACACAAATTTTGCGTTGCCATTTAAAAAAATCGAGGATTTTAATATTAGTTTTAAAATAAGTGCATGATAATTTTGCCTGCGATTTTTGACAAAACTAAATAGCATGTAGGTACCTATTACAAAAAGTCTGTAGGTAGTACCTACTATAGTAGGTACCTACTATAGTAGGTACCTATAGGTAGGTACCTACCTACCTACAGCAACTCTAGAAGTCGAGTTTTTTAACATTGTTAATTTTATTTTTGTCCGTAATATATTCAAATATGATTTTTGTAATAATAATTTAATTCTTAAGCATCCGGTGCCCGAATTCCCCATTCTGTATTAAAAAACAGTTTTCTCTGTGTACCCTTGATTACTGAATAAATAATTAATTTACTTACAATTTTTTTATATTTTTAGAATCCATATTTCAAAACTTAATCTATTCTTCAAGTCCTCCAACTTTATTACTTCTGTAAGACATGAATTGTACGGACCAACAGACTTCTTGGCTAATTTTGGTGGATTATTGGGACTTTTTACTGGATTTTCCATACTTTCCCTTATGGAAATTTTCTACTTTTTATCTGTAAGGTTAATTTGCAATGTTAGACTATATGGATACTGGGCTGGACCAGAAAGATAAAAAAATAACTGCATTTTTGATCTGAAAATGAAACTTTTCTCTTTACCCTGTGTTAGGCAACACAGATTACATTTTTATTGTATTTACAAATGCTAACTTTTTAAGATTGTAATATAGCATTGTTTATATTGATTGGCTTCTATGATTATTAAGTGTTCAAATATTAACATAAACGTGTACCTAATAAATATAAACTTTAAAGTTGAGTTTGTTTTTCTTAAGTTTACGCCCTTATTCGGCGACCTTCACGCCCAATAACAAAACAATCAATACATCAAATGTTTTTTAAAAATGGATATCGAAATCAAAGAAGAACCAGACAGTGAAATTATAAATGAAGTCAAAAATATAAAGCAAGAAATAAATGAAGACTATGATATTGACACCCCTGACGTAGTCGACCCGGCAAGCTTAAGTTCGGACGAAACACAAGTTACCTGTGAAAAATGTAACAGTGTCTTTTCGAGCGCTGAAGATCTGGAAGTCCACGATATAATTCATACAAACGATACTTTTTGTTCTTTATGTAAAAAATGGTTTTCCAGAAGAAGCGAGTTAGTTATTCATGTGAGAACTCACTTGTTAAACAAATCCCACAAATGTGAGCAATGTTTGAGATCATTTGTCACCAAAAAGGAGCTAAAACTACATACCAGAGTTCACACAAACGAACGACCTTTTCAGTGTTCTGAGTGTGATAAAGCATTTAAGCAAAGAGGGGCTTTAATTGATCACAAACTTGTCCACACGAAGCAAAAATCACATTCTTGTCCGTTGGAAGTAAGTAAACAATTATTATTAGCCGACAAATTGTGGGGTGCCATTTATTAAACAGCTATATTAAAATAGTAATTTATGCAACAATAATATAAACTTTTTATTATAAAGCGACACTTTTTTGCACTTAGAGGAACTTTTATAATGAGCTGGAGGCAAGTTATAAAACCTCATAAAAGTGGCTTTATATTTAAGTTGGTATGGGTACAATATTTTTTTCTGAAACCATAATAATTTCATAACTAATTTCTAAAAATGTGGAAAAAAAATTGCTTACATTTACAATTATTTTATTTCGATCTGTATGTGAAAACTTCTTTGTATTTTATTTATGCCCAAAAAGAATAAATTGTAATGTTATTATTAATAATGCCGCAGTTGCAACAAATTATAAAGAAGACTTGCAAAAAATACTTTTTTGCACTGTCAAAAATGACCTACTTTTTACACTTAAATGTCAACAAAAAAGTTGACTTTTTGACAATGGTATTGGAAAATAGTATATTGTAGACCTAGGCAGTAAAGTGACATTTATCTAGACTGAAAAAAGGATGTACACTGTACATTGTACAGGCAAGCTTGAGATTTTTGTGTACAGTTCGGACTCCTTGTGTAGACTCCATGTTTTAAGTATTGAATAAATGCTAAATTATTGCATAACCACAAAGAAAAGAATCTAAAGGCGTTGAAATTTTAAACACATTAAAAATTCTTAAAAAAGTTATTTTCAACCTATTTATTATTGATTATTAGGAATTATAATTGATCAAATTGTAATTACTTAGTGTTTATTAAATTAATAAACTATAATTAATTATAATCAACAAATAGTATATTGTTCAACAATTGAGAAAGTTGGCCATTTTCATGAGGATGAAATATTGCAACATGATCAATTTTTGCCACAGTTTAAGACTGAGCCACTTTCTCAATTGAAAACATATAGGAAATGTACACATTCTTTAATACGATTAGAAAAACTAAATTACTAAATTATATAAACTAAATTATAATCAACAAAACGAAACTTTTTCATGTTTGCATTTACCCAGAGAACTTTGCTTCCACCATTTTTTTTTATTATTTTGTTATGATTGTCACCATGTTTGACCAAAAAGTGACATATTCATTCCCCAACGTGATGCCTCAATATAGTTTTTTTTTGACAATTCGTTTGTAATGAATATTGGTCTAAAATTGGGAAAACGTTTATAATGCAAATTAATAAAAACTTGACAAATCAATATAAAAAAGGCTTTACATTTTTTTACTACTATTCTTCTATATACAGGCTCAAAAGTTTGGAATATTGAGTGTAAGTTTTAAAATATCGAAAATTTTAAAAAATGATTTTAATAAAAGTTGTTTAGGTAATAGTTTATTTTAAATTACCAACTTAAAAAATAAATACGTAGCCCTCTAACAGGGCCAACTTTTTTTTAGTAACCCTCTTTTTTTATTACAACAGTATATTAATATTAGTATGTTACAGGGATTTTTAAAAATGGCGTAGAATTCAAAAAAACCTTTATCAAAAATAATGCATAATCAAAAAATTGATATCAAACTTTTATTTGGAGATAGTTGTTGAGTACCAGTGTCAAGTTGACACTGTTAACTTTCAAATCTGTACCAAACTACAATACTTTATTATTTTAGAAATGTGACACGCTCTTCACAACAAAATCAAGTGTCAGGAGGCACCTGAAAAGAATTCACAAGCTTGGAGCCGCCGAAGTCGCTTCAAAAATCAACAATCAAACAGAAACAATCACATGTGCAATATGTCAACAACATTTTTCGCGCAAATGCGATTTATATGCTCACACGAGGCAAGAGCATCAGGGCACTGAAGAATTCAACTGCCAAGTTTGCCAGAAATCATTTAACTCCTACTTTGTTTTAACTGTACATATGGAGGATAAACATAAACCGAAAACGTGCAATATATGCGAACAATCGTTTGCTGGGGCTCCGGAGCTTTCGGAGCACTTAAAAGAACACCATAAATGTGGGCAGTGTGGTCAAGGGTTCATATCCAAGGTGCATTTAACCGGACACATCAAGTTGGCACATGATTCCAGTATCCATCGATGCCAAATTTGTTTCAGAAAGTTTACAAATTTAGAGGAAGTGGCGGCGCATGTGTTAACACATAAAGCTGTAACACCACTAAAAAAAGTTCCTTGTACTCTTTGTAACAAAAGGTTTAGGACTAGGGATGGGTTAACGAGGCATCTAAAAATGTTTCATTACGATTTAGCTTTTGTCTGCAATATTTGTGGGCGGTGTCATGAGAGTCCCGAGACATTAAAGCAACACATGAAAAAACATGATAAATACAAAGCTATTTTACGTTTTACTTGTAGCGTTTGTTTGCAGGGCTTTAGATTTAAACCTAACTTATTAAACCATTACAAGGAAGTTCACCCTCAGGTAAACTTCAAATGCCAATACTGCGGTAAAGATTGTACAAACGGCTTTGATATGTTCAAACATCAAACCAGAAATTGTCCTCTAAAAACGGACAATCTATGTAATTTTTGCAATAAAAATTTTAATAGTAGTACTGCGTTAAAAACCCATTATAGGATTGAACATGCGCGGCAATTTACTGCCGAATTTCCAAAAACTAATAATGCAACAGTAAACAGTATTAGTAGTGCTAGTAGTTCGCTACTTAAGCATGCTTTAGAAATAACTGCCATAAAAAATGAAGTTCCAGATAGTGAATGTTTTATCATAGAATAAAGTATTATAATTATGAATAGTTTTTTATTTAACAGGATTAAAATTTATCTTTAGTAAATTACCAACAAATACTGCATTGTTCGATAATACTTAAATATCCTACCTTACCTAAAAATATATATTTGGTTTCATTCCCCATTGTTCTTTAATATAATTTTAACTAAAGTATTTTTTAATTGATTTTCATTGTATAAGTCATTTTTTATAAGAGGTTCCAAGTTTTAAAGATAATATATTTCTTTCAGTAAGGAAATGTTAAACGGTATTGTGGCGATTTTAATTGGTAAATTTTTATTAAAAAAAAATGCCCCAGTGTTTTTCAGTGTGTACACGCGCAAGAAGTAAAACTTCTATCGGTTTAACCTATTGGGTTATACACTTTGTAAAATTTATTTAAGGTTTTAAATAAATAAAAGACATAATATGTAATACATAATATAATAATAGGTAGGTGCATATTATGTCTAAGAAAGCATAAAGACATCTTAAAGATGTCGTATATGGGATCGGGTTTCACCGTTTCGCATCGTCTTAAAGACATCGTTTGTTATGCCTTAAAGACATGTCTTTAAGGCGCATTTCTAAAAACGCATACAAGACATCTTTCGGACGTCACATTTTGATGACCCCGCCCTCACCCTTGGTTATGTTTTGCTAGACCCTAGGGGTGGGCAAAATAATTGATTATCAAACCATCGATTATTTTTTTTGTAATAATCGATTATTAACTATTCGATTATTTTATTATTATAATAATAATTATTGTTATTTTAAATAAAGAATGTACATTACATCAGCATTTTTAATTGTTAAACATGTAAATAGAAATAATATGACCAATTGAGCATTTTTTAACTAAACAAAATAAAAATAGTGATTTTTCAGAAAACGCATTTTTAAGATTTATTCTGGATTTAAAAAATGCTGCTGAAAATTTTAAACTCGTATTGCATGCATATATGCATGCAATACAAGTTTATACACTTACATAAGTATTAAAAAACGAGACAATTAATATATTAAATTAAAATTATAATTTAATCGATTAAGTAATCAAATAATCGATTATTACAAAAAAAATAATCAATGGTTTGATAATCGATTATTTTGCCCACCCCTAGTGTCTAGCAAAACATAACCAAGGGTGAGGGCGGGGTCATCAAAATTTTGAACCGATACTTAAAAGACATCATAGAGACGTCTTAATCATATATCTTCAAAACATCCTTTAAAAGACATTTTTTGTCACGATCAAATCGTGCCCAATAAAATGTTTGGTGGGTTACTGTTGGTATAGTCGTCGCGGCGAATGTTTCAAATTGCGTCATCAATGTCGAATGTCAAAAACCGATTTCTCGACATACCAAGCGGTTCCTTGGATTTTATACGTAAAAGAAAACACCAATAATTGTAATGTCTGTGCTTGGTTCAGAATTTGATGACGCAATTTGAAACATTCGCCTATACTATACTATATGGTACTGTTTGGGCATGATGACATATTTTTGATGTTTATTTAGGCAAATAAAAGGCAATTTATTGGCTTTAGCTTTAAAAAAAATATTCTCGTTTTTATTGACATTTAACTATTAACTGTTTTATTTAATTCAATTTTTGGAAACTGTTGTATTTAGTACTCAAAATTTGGTTCTCTGGATACGGGTCCAGCATCACAATGTCGTCCGGCCCATTACTGGCTCATTTAAAAATAGCTATTTTTACTGGGCCACCAATGGGCCAGGCAAGATTCTGCTGCCCATACTGGCACTTTACTGTTGGCTGGATATAGTTGTAGGAGAAATTTAGTTGCAATATCCAGTTTTAATTACTATTAGATTTATAATATAATGTTTAATCGTTATATTTTAGTATTTATTTTAATTTAACAAATTTTTTTGTAATGTATTTAATTTTAATAAATTAGCAGTTTCACAGTGTAACTTAAACCTAATGCAATTGTTATTATTATTAAATAAATTTTATTAATAATTATTATTAAACTTTTGTTCTTAAAAACTTTTAAAATTAAATTAAAAGTGATGTCAGACAAAATCTGTCACCTTGACAGTTAAAAAAAATTGAGGTTATGTTCCAGTAGTAAAAATATTTAGTCTTCTTGGTTGTTTTCAGGTCATTGCCCAAACTTGTAGGTTGACGTATCGCGTAACGAAAATTTGTCTCTATCGCCAGTAAAGAAGCTCCTAATAAAAAAAAAATATTACATTATTTAGCAATTAACGATAAAATACATAAAGTTGACCCTTGAGTCCTAATTTGCCTGAAACAGTAAAATATTGGCTAAATTGTAATTAACTTTTACTATTTTAAACAAAACAACTAATATTTACAGTTGCAGTGATTTAAAAATAAACAAAATATGAATCCAAAATTTACCTAACTATAAAAGGTTGTTAAATAAAACAAACATTTAATAAGTAACTGGGTTTAATTTAACACATGGAAATATTATCTATGCAAAATCTACACAACCAAAAAATAAGTGATGAAATACACAGCATTTAACCTGCATTAAACAAAATAATTATTACAAACCTAATGCTTAATAAACCAGTTTAAAAAAATATTACTCTTAAACCTAACATTAATAGAAAACATCCTTATCAAATAAACTAACTACTACTGATGTTACTTAACTTTGAGGGCTGTACGATGGACGTTTTTCTGGTTGGGACTGTTTCTGGCGTTGGTATGGCTTCTCCAGTGGCAAAATTATTTGCAGGTTTTGTTGGGACTTTATTGATGCCAGCTTTTTTTTGTTTTGCCATTTGGTAGTCACCCGAGTCAAAAAATTTCTGTCCTTTTGCCAGTCTCTTCTGTAAAAACGCCGAATGACCCCCGATCGCCTTTTGTCCAGGGGGGCCCATTGGGCCTGCTGGATATTTTGCCTTCAGTTTTGCTTCCTCCAATTTTTCCAACTCGTGTGGAGACATTTGTTGTTCAGTTTGTGGGACTTCAGATTCTTGCTCGCTCATTTTTTTGTAATAAAAACGCAAAACCAATTAGGCAATCTGTAATATACAAGTTTAAAGATAAATCTTAATTAAATAAAGCGGTAAAAATAACTAATCTTTACAAAAAAATAGTTACCTTATAAAAACACGCAAATATTACGTAAAACACCGTTATTGTACTTCTAAAGCTCAATTTACTTTACTAGATGCTAGATACTATACAAAGAACACGTAAAATTGTAAAAATTCGTTAAAAATCGAAAAGTCCTACACAACACCTTCTTTCAATGACGTTTGATGCTAACTTCATTGTTGTTACCAATAAAGAATTCAAATCCTAAATTTTGCAAGGCCAATCGATATATCACCTTGCACTGCAATAGAAAAAATTGCAGCAATGGAAAAAATTGTTTTAACGACAATTCACTACTTTAACTATAAATATTTAACAGTGTTAACGTTATATTAAACGAAAAAAATTAAATTTATACGAAGATAGCTACAAAACAACTTTAAATTATTTAAATCAATATTAACAAATATATGTTAATATATATTTAAATAAAAATTATTTATATTACATTATTAGACTGTGTATGTGGAGAAGAAATGTTGAGACTAATATAAAACATTTTAAATGATAACGCAATGTGGGTTGCCTAATAGCGACAGTATCAGTTGCGTCAAAAATGGCAACTGAAAACTGTTTGTAACTTTTCTACCCAAAATTACGGGAAAAAACGGTATAATGCCAAAAAAAATGCATTTAGGTGATAAATTGCATAATGCAGAAATAAAAAATAGAGCAGAAACATGCAGATGCAACGCCGAAATACGAAGAATTGAAAAAGAAAAACTCTTCGAATTACGAATGTTAAAAAATGAGAAGTTAAGTTTTTTTAAAAAGTTTAGCAAGTTTTTGGGACCACATGTGAGTGTTTGTTTTATTGTTTGGTTTTATTGCAGCTTTATGTTTTTAAGATAGGAATCTAATACAAGTAAAGAATCAGGGTCTTTTATAAACAAAAATATTAAATCTATAGAATGTGGTTGTACAGCTTCTGAAGATTACCAGGTAAACTCCATTAAATAATTTCAAGGAATTAAATCCCATTAAAAAGTATTTTTAACATCCCTTTGAAGAATAAAAATAAAAAACTAATAAATCGTATTTATAGAACCTTCATAATCTTCTCTTCACCAAGGATGAAATAGATATAGAAAAAATGTTATGTCTCTATTTGTTGTGTATTCATGATACAAAGGAATTAACGCCACCGTCTAGAAAAAAATACAAAATGACCAAGGAAAATTCGCCATTGGAAAGATTAATTTATAGGTCAAAAAAGAAAAGTCTTGCAGAAAATTTGCTCATGAAGTTACCATTTTATATCCTTGGTAATGGTTTTGTTTATTTATCTGTCAAATTTAAGGTCAAAATCATGGAGCCTACACAAGGAGCCCAAAAATTGTTTTGCTAGCGTTTCGGTACAAATTAAACAATCAATAAAACACCAGCGCCCTCTTATTTTTGTATACATGATGTTCGGACTCCTTAAGAAGGAGGCTCCATATTCAAAATGTCATAGATAAAAAAACATTCATAAACAAAAAGATATCTAGTGTTGCCAGGTTTCCGGGTTTGACCAGAAGTCTGCGGGTTTACAATAAATCCTCCAGACTCCGGGTTTTGCAATAACATGTCCGTGTTCTCCGGGTTAACAATAAGAAAAATATTTAATTTTCAAAAATAATCGTTTTTTTATATGGTTCTTTTTATTTAATTTATGGCTAAAAATACATTTTTTATCTTTGTTTTATTCATTTTTATACTTCTTGATAAGTAGAAATTAGTTATGGGGGGGCCCGTATCAAAAATCTGGTAGGGGCCCTTATTATAATACGGCAAAAAAATTCTGGATGTCACGCCCAAAGTCTATTTTTGGCAAACAAAACAAAAATTTTAGATTATTTTTTTGCATTTACTAATTTTTTATAATTTAATATAATTTAATATTATATGTATACATAGCTTATAAGGAACAGGCAAATTTTATAATTTGGTCTGGTTTTAGACATTTACCGGTTATCCACATCTTTTAAAAGGTTTCTATTTTATAATAAAGACAAGTCATTTAAAATAATTGTAAAGCTAATAATTATTTCTAATTTGCTATTAATATAACCTATGATAATAACACGCAAAGCAGACTCAGTATGCGGCGCAGAGCACAGAACAATATGCGCAGACTGCGCCGCAGACAATGCATAGCGGAAAGGTGCAGGCAGAAACAATTCGTATGAGTTCACGGCCTCGTTGGAATAGGAGGGTATTCAGAAAAATTTTAATTTAATAAATCGAAGTATAAACAATTAAATAATAATATTATTTATTTATTTAATTTCAGGCCTCAATTTTTTTAACATGTTGGTAATACGTTTTTTGCTTACGCAATCAGCCAATCAGGGGCCCCCCGTATCATTGATACGGCTGATACCGCGGTAGCTATGCCCCTGTAACGAATATCAAGTTTCACACTACAATACTCGTCACTCAACTTTTTAAACTTGTCGCCATGATAATGAGCATTGTCTATTATGATAGAGCAAATCTTGGTTGCCTATTATGATACTACAGATTATGGTTGCATATCATTGGTGTAGAAAATCGCGCATTAAGTAAATTACTTTTTCTACTCCCACCTTTAAAACGCCCTTTATCGTAAATGTTTCCATGATACTAAGTGACCTTTTAAATACACATTGACAAGTTGTGGCTTTACGGCGCTTTAGTCACCGGCTGAAGTAAGCAACAGGTTTTTAGTCACGGGCTGAAGTTAGTTTTAAGTTAGTTGACAGTTGTCAAATGTCATACAATCGTTAAAATAAATTGCCTTTCTTGTGTAATAATACTAAATGTGAAAGTTATTTTATTATCTCAATACAAAAATACAAAAATATTAAATAGTTTCTTAACGCCAATATTTGAAAAGTTTATATGAACATTGTACTGACCTTTTAATTTCACCGGCAGTAAACTATAACTTACATTCGGGCACGGACTCCACTGTAAAGTCCTCATAAAACATTTCCTTTACTTTCACTGTGAAAAACTGTCAATTTTCAAGATAAACTTCGATTTATAACCTTTATTATTGTGTTTATAAAATGTAAAAATGTGAATCTGAATGTGACATTTGACAGTTTCCCCTGTTGTTTCATAGATGGCGCTCTATACAAATTTTTGATTTAAATCATTTTAAGATAATAATAATTATTTGTCGTAGAAAAAGTATAGTATGCACCTCGTTTATAAACTTTTCTATACACTCATTAACTTAAGCAATCGCTCGCAAGTTCGCTCGTGCCTAAATTAAATTCGTGTATAAAATGGTGTTTAACAAACTTGATACATAATATACTATATACCTACTTGTAGTAAAGTAAGTAATAAAAATGTTGCTTTTTTTGTAACATTCGCATCAATTTTTGCGAATGCAAATCACAAAAATCATGCAAAATTTGGTATTTAATATTCGCGAATGGGAATATTCACCAATTGAAATTAATGACATCCGTGGAGAATTCTCGAGACATTTCTTCCTACCGAGAAAATAACAAATAGACGAAAACTGATAAATATTTTTCAATTCAAAATTTTAACAAAAATCTGGGGGTTTGAAATCGACCACAAACTTTTATCAGGAGTGAAATTTTCTGAGACATGGAACCCTACCCGTTGACATTTCAACTGTATATATACAGGAGATATATATCCACTGGAGATTCTCCAGGTCCTCTGAGCTCAAGCTGGCAACCCTAATTATATCAGACAATTTTTATTGCATAAACCAAGTTATTTTAACACGAAATTTTGACATATTAATAATTTTTAATGATTAATTCGTAATAAAAGTAAATGTGATTTGACATACCGCGGTAAAACTATATGCTATAAATCATGAAAAACAGCAGGGGCCTTATAGTTTTGGCAAAATCGTATGTCCTGACGTACGTTTATATGAAATATGATATAAATCTTAAATAAAGGCGACCATACACTGTCTTACCACTGAGACTTGTATATGGCTAAAAATAAAACGTCTAAAAATGTGTGAGTTTTTACTAAAATAAATATGACATTAAAATAAAAAAGCCTTGAGTTCAAAAATTTTTATGAAATCAAAACTTTTTTTCAAGAATATCCAAGCATTACAAACGCTAAAGATTCAGTTTTGATAAATGATGGTCGTTTAGCATCCAAAGTGCTTTTTAATGACAAATTGGCCACAATTTTAAATACAACTTTAAAGGCTTTGTATTTTGCAAATAGAGAAAAATTGGAGAAAATTTACGAAATTGCAAACTGTGAGGAAGAATTGCAGAAGCTTTTTAAAGAGTCCAAAATTCAGGAATATCTTCTACAATTGAAAAAATCACCATTAGTGAATAGGTAGAGAACACCTATAAGAGGAAATCACCAAATAGTAAATACCATTTTGTGTTTTTGACAAAAAAAAATCATTTAAATATTGAATTACTTTTAATTGTAGGTACTTGTAATTATAATGTATGACATAATTTAATCATATATTTGGTGACTTTCCTATAGGCCTATAAATAAAATATCGAAATAAAAAAATAATTTTAGTTGCGAATCATTTATTCTAAGACCCTACCTAAAACTCAAACCAAAAATACTTAAAGTGGTGACCAAATCGCAAATTTTCGAAAATTTACTGGAAGACATTCACCAAAATGTATTACAATTACCATCAAGAAAAAAACCTGAAGACGATATAGAAGATGAAGTTTACTCTGAACATGAGACCCTAAACGATTTTAATATAGTTTCAATGAAATATTTTGACATGCATACAGGATCATCAATGTAAATATGTCTAAGCCTTAGTACTACATCTTCTCACTCTTTGGTTAACTGCTTCTTACGTATAATAACTAAAGTTAGAAGATGAAGATTTAAAATACATTTAAAACAAAGTGTATTTTCGTATTTTAATGGAAAAGAGCATACTTTCTTGAGGAAAAATCTAAAAGAAAAGTACTAGGTTTATGGTTAGCAACACCTTTTTACCTAGCAACACTTTTATTAAGCAAATCTTACAAGAAAAGTACAAGTTTTAAGGTTATAAAGTCTATCTGAGAGAAATCATCCTAGATCTAGGATGATTTTTATTTCAATAATTAATGCTTTTCCATTAAGAACACGAATTCGTTAAAAAAAAATTCACTCACTATAGACAAATATTACTTTTAAGTGAAGACTTATAAAACAATCTACTATTTTCTATAGAAACAGAATTAAAACATCTAGAAAACAGTCTTTTAATCGTCCAATGTCAAGAATTGCTATGGATTTGGATATTAGACATAGCAAATTGGATTCGTTAAGGGAAAGTACAGTGACTATAAATAAGGTAATATACAGGGTGTTTATATATATTTTTAAAATATTATAGAAAAAAAAGGTAATATAGAATTTGCTAATAAAAGCTCAATTTTCGTAATATTAAAATAAAAAGATTATGTTGGAAAAAAACATTGAGGTTCCATATTACCACCCGGCCAAACTAATGATTTTGTAAAACTTTTTTTTTGATTTTACTTAGATAACAATTCAAAGACAACTTGACGATTTAAAAATGTATTTTCCTTTTGAATCAGTTTCTGAAAAAAACAAACCAATAAATGAAAATATCGAAAAAAGTTTTGAGGAGGAAACAGCAAATATTAACTTGTTATATTTAGAAAGGTGAGTTTTTGATTTTTTATATAATTTTTTACTTATGGAAAAACCTTAAACATGTTTAAAATGTTCATATAAAAATGTATTTTTAGTTTGGTGGTGCCATATGACAATTTACACATCATTATCCAAGGTTATGATTACTTAGTGTTAGATTTACCAACAGTTAAATTTAGGCATTTTTGAGACTCCCTTCATAAATAATTGTTTTTGAGTAGTTTAATTTAATGTAAAGCAAAGGCATAGCGATAGGTTGGCCACTTTCTGACAAAAAATCGGAATGCTTAGTGTAAATTTACCTTAATTACGAAAATTACACAATAAAGTCAAATTGACAATTTGCATTGCATCATTGTGCCATTTTTGCAAATAAGGTAAATTCATTCCAAATCTCCCGATTTTTTTTTGAATAGATTCTGGCAACCCTACATAGCGATACAATGCTCACAAGTCTATTGCACATTGAGATTAATTTAGGTTTTGTTTTAAGTACATAGAGAAAATAAAACAGTTATAACATTGATCACAGAACACTAACCATTAATGCGCAGAACACTAATAAACTTAATATACAATGACAATGTCAATGTCAGTGTACCATTCAAAATCATTCAATTTCTAAAAAAAAATAAGTAGTGTCAGGGAGTGTAGTGATCAATATTCTGAAATGTTAACTTAAAATGAGTTAAATAAATAAATAAATAAATCGTTTTAATAAAAAAATCCCCTTGATAAGTTGTTAATTATATACCTAATATTTTCTGTTCTTTAAAAACTTTTTTTTCACTTAAAAACTTGATTTGGCCCAATGTGCAGTAAGGAGAGGTTTGGTCGTCATCTCATACACATAAGGAGATTTGCATAAATATTTGTAATACAATGCTTGTATTCCGAGAAAAACTTCTACTTGTCATTTAAATTCTCGTCTCAATTACTAAGTACACATAGTGTGCACGCAGAGAGCAGAGGAGCGTTCCTTGACTAGCCAATTAGACTAGAAATATATTATAGATATTGAGACCGATTAATATAAATAATAAAAATCAAAATGTTAACCATGATATTTAAAGGTTTTTATTACCTATTTTGGTAATAGTTTTTAAATTATAATTTTTTTGGTTGATTTTAAGATATTTCTGTTTTATTTTGTTAAATAAATTTTGGCCAGCTTTGATTATTTTTAACGATTTTACAATTTTAAGGATTAAATTTTAATAGTGTTCCTTTTGATTTTTTCTAATATCAAGTCAAAAAATGTGAAAAATGTTAAAAGGACCTATGGGAAATGGGTTCCAGATTTCACGTATATAGTAGAACATGGCCCACTGATCTAAAGTTACCATTTTTATATTCTCAAAAAAAATTCATATTCAGAGCTAGACAGTGGGTTATGTTCTACACACACTTGTTAAAAATGACACCAAAAAAATAAATGAAACATTTTTGTAGACAAAATAACAAGTATAAATTGACACTAAACTAAATTGTAGCTGATCACTTTTAATTTAATGAAAAATTATAAAAAAAGCAAAATCGCAGCCATGAAAATATTAAACTAAACAACTGATTATGATAGTAGGCTAGACTTAACGAAAACCGATTCAACGTCTACAAAAAATTAATTCTATCTGCTACAAAATTTTGCGAGAATACCAACCTTTCTACTTTAGAAAGAAGCTTTCCTTTAAGTCTATCACATGTCGACTGATTCTTCAGAAGAAAGAAAAGTGCTCTTGTCTTGAATTCAATTTTTATTACAATACATTTAATTTTTTTATTTAAAAGAAGTTTGCATAAGGCCTTCTCCGAAAATGATAAGTAAAGCAGACATACTATCCAAGTTTACGAGAATTAGAGGCGATAACTGTAATTGTTAGAAGAAGGGAAAAAGGATGTCAAAATGGAAATAATATAATAATAATAATGTTTTTCAACAAAATTTAGTAAAGGGTTGTTTTGAGGGGTGTTGAATCCAGTGCCGTGTTTAAAAAATCGCTAATATGAATTCTTAAAAATTTACTCTTAAAAATTGGCATAGTAGGCCTTGTATTTTGTACAAATATGGCGTTATTGCTCCCAAAATACAGTTTATCAAGATCTACACTTTAAAACAAATCCGGTTAAAATCGCACAAAAAATAAAGATTTTACAGGGGTGAGTCGCAAACAAATGGGTCACACTGTATATATATTTTTGTATATTAAAAAAACTCAACTATTTTAATTTTTAATAATAAATATTTCTTGTTTTCAGGGTATTTTAAAATTACTCTGCCAATTTAAAGGCACCACAGCTCAAACGATTAAATAAAAAAAATAAAAAAATCCATTAAAACCACTAAAATTGCCTTAAATATGACATTTCGTAAAGACCACACAGAAAATCTTGCGTTTTCTCCTGAATAGGCAAAATTCGGCAAGTTTTGTTTTCGATAATAAAGCTTGAGAGTTTAATAGCATCAACAAAAACGTGTTGTTCAGTGTTGATCTTGATATATCTCTGGTGAAATATCCATGTGATATGTTAATTTTTGCTTTTACATGAGTTCACTAAATCATTATTTTTTTTTGTAAATCCATAAAATTGAAATGGTATAAAACCTTGAACTTGCCTGCATCTGGCCTACTCATAGTTTATGTCAAAAAGTTAATCCACCTTTAACTGTAATGTCTTAAACTTAAGCGATTTGTTTAAACAAAATAAACCAGACAAGAAGTATTAAATTTACCGACATTTGTCAAACCGCGTTTGTAAACATAAAAACTCAGACATATTTCTGGTGTTTTTGTAAGCTTAATGCCTACTTGACCGTTTTAAGCATAAAAAACTTAGTGTTCCATCATTTTTAAAAATTGACTTTTTCAATGTTTAGGGAATTTCTGGCCCACAGTGCGACGCCGGTAACAAACACCGTTAAAAATTCCCTTAAGAAGGAAACAAAATAAACCTTTGTAAACCTTGTTTTAAAGAAATTGTCAGGGGCAAAAGGAACTCTTGTACATTAACTGAAGCCTGGTCTAACCGTTAGACTCTAACGTTAGACTCTAACGTTGTTAGACCAGATATGCAGCAAGAGCAAGTTATCAGTGGTACTCTCAAAACTTTTGCTAACAAAAGTTTAATGGAATCGGATTAGGCGAAACTTTAAAATATTTATTTAAATTTGGCTATTTGCGGCTCAAAGCTAGGCGGCAACCGATTATCGCTTTTTTACATCGGGCCGACGATGGCCCGCAAAACTAGCGGTAAAACGTCTGTTGGAAGTGTGCGTCTGTGATGTCACAGCTGAATAATGATGGTTCTATACGTTTAGAGTGTGTTAAAATATTGGACCTACATATAGTCCGTTGGCGGCATGACACAAACTTGGAAATGTATTTAAAAAATACCAAAAATAAACTTGATAAAATTTAAAATGGGGATTTCGTTTATGTTATGCTTTAAATTCATTCATATATGTTATAAGTAAATATAAAAAACTTTTTTAGTAAAACGAAATCTGATTCAGAAGCAGTACGCTACACCCTTAAACAGTCCACCTGCGAGGCATGCATGAACAAGTGGATGGACCCTTTGCCGTCCCCAAAAACCCCCCGCTTTAAAAGCAACGAAAACCCCCTGACAACGAACACTGCCCAACGCATATCGTCGCTAATAAATAAAGAGCTTTACCAGCTAAAGTCCTACGACACGCGGTATTCGACGGAATATGGAAGATTGCCAAGGTTGACAATTAAAAAAGATGAAAAACACGAGCTGTCGCTAAATAAGGAGAGCGTTCAATTAAATCGCATGGACTTGGCTAGGATTAAACAAGAAATCAGGGATAAAGAGACGCAGAAGAAGCTGCAACGGTTTTTGTGTGAACCGATTTGAATTTCGATTTACATAAAATATTCTATTATTAACGTAGCCAAGAACTTTTTTTAATATAATTGTAATAATTCTTGTATATTTTTTACAAAATAAAAAGTTGTTTTGCCAAATTTCTAAAATAAAATAGTAATTGTTTACAAGTAATACTTGTAGTGCCTTTATTTCATAGTTAATATTTTCCTTTATTTGTTGAATTGTCAGAGGCTTACCCCCAGGGGCAAACCACTTTAAAATCATCGAGACCAATGTTTACCGTTATATGATTTTTCCTTATCAGTCGTTATCAATAAGGAAGAATCCTTTTCAATAAGAAATTTCTCGTTTGCTATTTTTAATTTTAAAAAATCAGTGGTTGACCCCCGCCTTACCCTTTAGATAACTTAACAAGAAATAGTCAGTGTGTTTTTCTTTAAATCGCGCGTGCCATTTTTGTGCTTTGAGTTTAAAGTTTTATAACGGTTTTATAGAGGATTAATTAAATTTTGTTAAACAAGTTTGTACGGTTTCTTTAAGAAAACAGTATTTGTGGCAAAAACCGTAACTGTCATCCTCCATAGCAACCTTAGTTCTTAGCACAGAAAATTTATAGGAAATTACAATGTTTTTTTTAAATCCATATTTTTCACAAAAATAAAGATATCGAGGTGAACCAAAAACAAAAATGTTAAAAATAGATGTTACTTGATAATTAAAACTTAATTTCGCGACTCTACAGAGTGTCTTAAGCTTATGGTACAAAACAACTTCTTGTTTAAACCTGTATATTATATACGTCTATTTTTTTAGAATTTTTTTTAAATGTGTGTAATTCTCCATTAATTTATCTACAAATATTCTTCAAAATTTGTTTAAATCTGACATCAATAAAAAAAATAATTGACGAATTAAATTCATCGAAAATTTGGGTGGATCGATTATTTTCCCTGAGTGTAAATTTTCTTATATTTTCAACACACTGTATCTCGAATTTTAAGATACTCCCTAACATCCATATGAACTTTTCATCGCCAAACCTTATGGATAATCACCCATTTAATTTTTTGGAATCAACCAGGATTATAAAATTGAATGCATGCAAATAACTAACGATCCTTTGGAATTTTGAAAACTTGTTAAAAGATAATTTAAGGGAAATGAAACGCTCTACAAAAAAGGTTCGATAAGTTTTATAGTAAAGTAGGAAATTTAATGTAAATGTAATAAAACTTTGACCTTGAATATTTAAAGGAATGAATTTATGATGAAAGATAGGCGACCTTTTAAGGAACGTTTAATTTCCTATAAAAATGTATCCTGATCTTTTCAGTAAACGACCCCCTTAATAGTTTATAAAATTTTAAAGTTTAAAACAAATTTCTTATAAAATTTAAATGAAAAATATAAATTTGTAATAAGGTTTATCTTAATTTTAATATTAAGAGCTTAAACTTTAACATGATCATTTTTTCAATACTCTGAACAATATTATCATTTTAATTTAAAAAATATTGTCGATTTTTTTAACAATTATACATACAAGTATTATACATGTATGTATAATTGTTAAAAAATTATAATAATTGTATAAATATCCATGCTTACCTATCTTTTTTTTTTAATTTGTGGCTTGACTCTCTTGACTTGTACGGCGACGATATGTTGAAGAAAAAAAATTAATTAATGTTGGCAGTTTCTCTTAAATCTTTTTTGTTTCAATAAGATAAAATATACCATTTGAAACATTTTTAACAAAAAAAATTATTTACGCACAAATTGGCCACAATAATGGTAAATACATAAATAAAATTATATTTTACACTTTTACTAAACTTGTTTAAAAAAAAGAATATATTTTCCTCAATGTTTGCCGTGCATTAACAAAAAATAATACAGTATTAAAAAGGGTCGGACGCCATATATTTACTATTTAACTCCCTGTAAAAACTATTATCACATCATATTCGTCTGTAGGTATATATCGATGCCCTTTTGTTTGCGCAAGAAATAAAAAGGAAAAAATAGCCACCCGCCGTTTGTGGTAATGAGCTTTAAGCACCTTGTGCTCTGAAAAATGACCTGGAAAGTGGGCCGGCTAAATTATAGTAAGGTGAACTCGTAGAGAGGAATTATTTAGAAAAATAGAAGACAAAACAGATTTTATCTTTTGCTATAAAAGTTCTTTGTAGACGAAATGGTTTTCTTGGAAATATTAAAAGGAGGTGAATGTGGGTTTTTAAAGGCTTCCGTGTTTTGCCGGGTCCATTGAAATAGAAATATGTTGGTTATTATTTACCATTTAATATCTTAACATCTTAAACGAAAATAGAATTAGTGTTAGATTAAATAATTTGGAGTACAAAGGGGTTTTTAATAGGTTATTACCCAAAGGGTTCTCTTGGGATTAGAGTATTGTGTTGTTATATTTTATAATTTTACATGAGATTTTGACAGTGAACAAAAAATAATGTATTACAAACATCAGAAAACATTTAGATTTATATTAGAGCTAAGAAATAAAATTTGTGGCAAATGTTATATGACATTTTGAACATTTATTATTCAAACCTTTTGCAAGAATTTTCCATAAACAACTTTTATTCTATTTTTAGTACTCCCAAAATAGATATTTAAATCAATAATTTAAAAATAACATCTAACCGATTAAATTTAATATTCATTAGATTTTTGTTATACACTCACAGGCAAAATAATCGATCCACACAAATTTTCGGTGAATTTCAATGGCAAATAACTTTTTTATTTGATTTCAGATTTAAACAAATATTAAAGAATATTGTAGATACATTCACATTTTAAAAATTACTTAAAAATACACGTACGTTTATAATATACAGGTTTAAACAAAAAGGTGTTTTTTACCATAAGTTTAAGTGGCAAAACCGTATATTGTTCTAAATTAAGTTTTAATTATCAAGTCAGTGGTCAGTGGTTAACCTTGATATATTTATTCTTGTGGAAAATATGGATTTAAAAAAAAAACATTGCAATTTCCAATGTTTTTTTCTGTATGAAGAACTAAGGTTGCTATGGTCCATATGGAGGTCCTATGGAGGATGACAGTGACAGTTTTGTTGAATCATCCCATACTTGGACATGTCAAATACAGCTTTCAAAAGCTATCAAATTGTTTTTTGTAAATTAAAGTATTAATTTTGAGGTGTCTTCTTACTTTTAAAAATGTCTCCGACTGATGTTGCCCTTTGTACTTTACTTCTTGTGACGTTTGAAACACTTGCCAAGTAATACTGTGACCATCCATCCATCCATCCATCCATCCTGGATTAAATTAATGGCTCTGGCAACATCAGCCGGAGACATATCCATTTTTTAAAGTAAGAAGGCACCTCAAAATTTAAACATTAATTTGCAAAAAACAATTTGATAGCTTTTGAAAGCCGTGTATGACATGTCCAAGTATGGGATGATTCAACAAAACTGTCACTGTCATTCTTCATAGCCTATGGATGGACCATAGCAACCTTAATTCTTCATGTATTTTCTGTATACAGAAAAGTATTGGAAATTGCAATGTTTTCTAAAAAAATCCATATTTTCCACAAAAATAAATATATCGAGGTGAACCAAATCAAAACTGTTTAGAATAATATACGGTTTTGCCACTCTACAGAGTGTCTTAAACTTATGGTAAAAAAACATATTTTTGTTTAAACCTGTATATTATAAACGTACGTCAATTTTTTAGTAAATGTGAGCGATTGTCCATTAATTCATCTAAAATATTCTTTAATATTCGTTTAAATCCGACATTAAATAAAAAAGTTATTTGCGATTGAAATTCATCAAAAATTTGTGTGGATCGATCATTTTGCCTGTGAGTGTACAATATTCAATCTATAAATTATGGTTTTGCATATTTCTTCAAATATTTCAATTTTAAAAATTGCGGGTAATGACCTCGTCTACAACCATTTAAAGTTTTTTTATATCAAATTTTGCAAGTCAAGCATTTCAGAAGTCATGTGGAAAAGAACGCTGAGCCTATTTGGGGCCAACGCCAACGACAAAATATTTTTTTTTAATTCTTTAATTGACCAAAATGTATTTATTAACATAAAATTATCTATTATTACCTTTTAACTGATTTTGAATGGTTTTGGAAAGAAGATTAATACTTTTAAATTATACATTTATTATAATAATTTACTAGTAAATTTAATAAACTGATTTAATGATTATGTTTATATGTGGCCCAATGAAAACAAAACACAGATAGTGAGCAGGGTTTATTTTGCTGAATATTTAGTAATTTTGAAAATCAAACGTTTTTTAACCCTAAATAAATTTGGTAAGCAATAGTAATTGCCATTTATTCTACTATAGTATATATACAGTGTATACACTGTTCAAAATTTCATGACCATTTTAACACCATACATGGTCTATATCGATACAAACCAAAATGGTGTTAAATATGGTTCGTTGGTCCGGTGTAAATTCAAATACTAAAATAGTGTTAATTTAACTTTCACACAGTATTAAAATAAATTTTACCTGGTGTAAATTGAACTCCTTTTCAGTGTTAAATAATATGTGTTTTTGGTAAAATTAAATCATACTTCACAGAAAAAAGGAAAAAAAACGAAACAAGTTCCTTGACGCATTACTAGTATATTACCAGTGGTATTATTCCAGAAAATTGAACCTTCAACTCGCTAGAGATAATGTTTTTAGTGCGTTCCACTAACTTAAAATACTAGTATTGACAGCTGTTTCCACCTATTTAAGGTCTCTTTAAGGACTACCTGAGCTTATATACTCTTCATGTAAGTCAACAGAGGCGAGATTTAAGAACATCACGTGATCGACACCGCCTTTTCCGCGATCGGTACACACTATGCAACCGGGAATGCACGGAAAATTGTTTTAATCGTTTTAACAGAGTGCTTTAGGTTAAAGTAACTCTTATTTTAACAAACAACATATTTAGTAAAGTGAACCATACAGCGGGTTGGTTTCACTAAAGTTTTCTGAGTTAATTA